TAAGTGGAACCCATTACTGACGTAACTCAAGATTTGTGGAATGTCTGAACTGAGTTTCTGTAGTAAGGGAAACTTGCCCCTGGCACGAGCAGAATGCTTCCTTATGATCCAGAAAATACTGGTATTAATATTTCCACCAGTTGCCCTTAATAATTATGAAAGAATACCCTGTGGAGGAAAATCCTATAAGTGCTGGTAGGAGTATAATTTGGGAAGATTAAATAAAAGGTGTGGTGGTGGAAATTCTCTCTGACAGAGACTGCGTCGTCTGTTGAGGCTTGTCCGCCCTTAATCATAGTTCAATTACTTAAACCCTTAAAGAACCACAGAAATAATCTACTCAGGAGAGGAACTTTGCTGTTGGAGAAAGCCCCTTCCCCTGACTATATTTTATTGCTGCACTTCTTTAAACCAATGTATGGACTTCAACTCCCAGATTTCCATAGCCAACATTTGTGGGAGTTGAAGTCCACACATCTTAAAAGTTACCAAGTTTGAGAAACACTTCTTCAAGCTAAACATGGCTTGTTTAGATCTCTGTGGCTCCTCCTAATTCTCTCAGACATTGGATTATTAGAGGAGAGGAGAGGAGAAGAGGAGAGGAGAGGAGAGGAGAGGAGAAGAGAGAAGAGAAGAGAAGAGAAGAGAAGAGAAGAGAAGAGAAGAGAAGAGAAGAGAAGAGATTCTTTATTGGCCAAGTGTGATTGGACACACAAGGAATTTGTCTTGTTGCATATGCTCCCAGTGTACATAAAAGAAAAGATACATTCATCAAGAACCATAAGGTACAATACTTAATGATAGTCATAGGGAACAAATAAGCAATCAAATCATATTAGGAAACAGTCAGTATAAATCATAAGGATACCAGCAACAAGGTTACAGTCATACAGTCATAAGTGGGAGGAGATGGGTGATGGGAACGATGAGAAGACTAATAGTAATAGTAATGCAGATTTAGTGAATAGTTTGACAGTGTTGAGGGAATTATTTGTTTAGCAGAGTGATGGCATTCGGGAAAAAACTGTTCTTGTGTCTAGTTGTTCTGGTGTGCAGTGCTCTATAGCGTCGTTTTGAGGGTAGGATTTGAAACAGGTTATGTCCAGGATGCGAGGGGTCTGTAAATATTTTCACAGCCCTCTTTTTGACTCATGCAGTATACAGATCCTCAATGGAAGGCAGGTTGATAGCTGTTGCTTTTTCTGCAGTTCTAATTATCCTCTGAATTCTGTGTCTGTCTTGCTAAAAGCCATTTAACAAGAATTAGTTTCCAGTCCAGTGGACTGGATGAATTCAGCAGTGAGCCCTGTTCTCTATAAAACCTCCTTAGCCTCCATACCACTCATGGTTAGCTGTTTGTGGAAAGCCTCCTGAGATATCACAGAAGATTGCATAGGTTAGCTACGGTACATTTTGTTCTACCATACTACTTGTAGTTGGAGGGCTTTCCACTGTATTAAAAAACAGAAACTCCAAACAAAATACTTGTACCAGCTTTATCAGGGAGAGAAATGCGATACGGCAGAGGAGTTCTAAAAAAAAAAAAATCCGTAATTTAAACTTCATACTGTATGTTATCCATTTACCTGGAGCCGTAATCAAGTCATTACACGTCAGCCTTAATAAAAACTACCCTTCAGGTTTAAGAATTAATAAAAGAATATAAGAAACCCCTCAAGGCTCTGCTTTATTGGAGCTAAGATTAGATGAATATAATTAAACAAATAAGATATGTTACGCCTCTTAATCTCTAGATCAGTGTTTCTCAACAATGGCTGCATGAAGATGTGTGGACTTCAACTCCCAGAATCCCCCGGACAACTATGAACGCCACACATCTTCAAGTTGCCAAGGTTAAGAAACACTGCCCTAGACATTTTGTCCCCCTTTCTCCTATAATCATCATTGTGCTTGCTTTCAAACCACAGATTTATTTTATTTTTTATTTATTTTATTCAATTTGTATCCCGCCCTTCTCCTAGTGGACTCAGGGCGGTGCACAGCCAGAACTAAAACACATACCAATACAAAATTTAAAATTTTTAAAAGAATTATATGACTTTGGCCCAAAATTTAAAACATTCAAACTAAAACTCATTGACAATTTAAAAGGCTAAAAAAAGGGGGGGGGGTTCACGCCAGCTCTGCTTGATGGAAAAGAAAAGTTTTTAGGGCACGGCGAAAGACCCGGAGATCCGATATCCTTCGTATCTCTGGGGGCAAATCATTCCAGAGGGCCGGAGCTGCCACAGAGAAGGCCCTTCCCCTGGGGGTCGCCAGCCGACATTGCCTGGCTGACGGCACCCTGAGGAGTCCCTCTCTGTGGGAGCGTACTGGTCGGTGGGAGGCCATCGGCGGCAGATGGCGGTCCCGCAAATACCCAGGTCCTATGCCATGGAGCGCTTTAAAGGTGGTGACCAACACCTTGAAGCGCACCCGGAAGACCACTGGAAGCCAATGCAGCTCACGCAGGAGAGATGTCACATGGGAGCGCCCCCTTGCTCCCATAATCCCCCACGCGGCCGCATTCTGCACCAGTTGGAGCCTCCGGGTGCTCTTCAAGGGGAGCCCCATGTAGAGAGCATTGCAGTAGATCTGGCTTGTTCCATTTTTGCTCAGGCTCTACTACAAAGATACGGTGTCGGGTGTTGCATGGGGTGACTGGTGACTTCACGGCTATGTCCATGAAGTTTCCTTTTAGACAGCACACAGAAGCCGCTAGTCTTGTCTTCTTCCAAAATACTCATCGTCTTAAGATGTCTTAATATCTTCCATCCAAGATGCTACAGAAAAGAACAGGCAGAGCTGTGGGTGATGGGTGGGTGGAGTTAAGCACATCATCAGCTTAGAATCCTCACGTTGCCACAAATGGTCCAACTCCAACTGCTCTTGAATTCGGTTGACTCTTATCTGGCTCCAGTTTAGTGCTGAACTTTAGTTGACTAGATTCTTGCATGTGTAAGGCTTGAGCAGTAAATCCTTGTTGAGTACAGTTTAACCTATGGTCCTGTTCCTTTGCATCTGACATTAATCAAGTCCAGAAATGTCAAACTCAAGGCCCTGGGCCTGGATCCGGCCCGCGGGGTACTTAGATCTGGCCTGCGGCGTCGCCCTGGAAACAGTGAATGACCAGCCTGTGGTGTCTCTGCCAGCGAAAATGGACCTCGGAGGGCCGCGTGTAGCCCTCTCGAGCTCCATTTTCACTGGTAGAGGGTTGCAGGAGGCCGTTGCAGCCGAAAACGGAGCTCAGGAGCCCATTTTCGCTGGCAAAGCGCTCAGGCCACCACAGGCTCCGCCGACACGAATGACGTTGACCTGGCCCCCCAAGTGACACACCCCTGGCCCTCCAAGGTCAAACACAATCCTTATGCGGCCCTCAAGGAAATTGAGTTTGAAGCCCCTGATCTAGTCAATTAAAGTAAATACTAAATTTACAATTTAGTAAATACTAAATTTACAATTTAGTAAATACTAAATACTAAATTAAATACTAAATTGGCACCACAGAAGGGTCAATGGGATTCAAGAGAGGCTGGACTTCACCTGTTTGTGAGAATGTAATGACTCTTAACTGAAACGATGAGGTGCTTAACTCCGCCCTATGGTTCTACCTGTAGCATTCTCCTACAGATGCTAAACCCAGACCTGATTAGCTTTTTGAGATCAGTCCAAAGTCGGTAGTTAGTACTAGCCAGGGCAGGGGTCAGCAACCTGCGGCTCTGGAGCTGCATGTGGCTCTTTCACCCCTCAGCTGCAGCTCCCTACCACTCAAAATATGCGTCACAACCGCCAATGTGCGATACCTGCCAGCACGCGATTTACTGAGTTTTTCAACCCCGGGTAGGCCAACCATGGATAAATCCAAGAAAAGAAAAAATTCAGAAGAAAACAGAACATTTAATTCAACTACATATGTTAGTTTTGGGGCCGCTCAAGAAACAGTCAGGTACAGGAAGGGTTTTGTGGCTCCCGGTGTTTTCTTTTCTGTGGGAAACAGATCCAAATGGCTCTTTTGAGTGTTTAAGGTTGCAGACCCCTGGGCCAGGGGTAGTATTCATTTACTTTCGCTACCGGTTCGCAAATGTGAGTGCATGTGCAGATCATAAAAAACAGGATGTGATGACATCCAGGCGGGTGGGCGGACCCTTCCGCAGCCGCCGCTACCAGTTCGCACGAACCAGATAGAACCGGCTGAATATCACCACTGTTACTGGCTGAGACTAGTGATCCCCAGGTGAAACTTACGCTGCCTTCAACTCAACTCCTGATGCTGTCCTGCACCAGCCCGTGTTTCTATCAGGGTAACCATTCAGAAGTGCTTGGCGGTTGGTGCACTCTACTGTACAAAGACAGTATGGCGCGCATCCCTGGGATGACCAACGGATAGAATATTTGGATATTCTTCCGTGAGCCCCAGAAGAGAATGACAACATGGAGTTTGGCTCTTCGGCCCCTTTCTACCATCTGTGATGCTTTAGAGCAGCGTTTCTCAACGGTGGCAACTTTAGGATCAGGTGGGGAATTCTGGAAATTGAAGTCCATCCCTCTTAAAAGTTGGCAAGGTTGAGAGAGCCCTGCTTTACAGAAGTGCTGTTAACATGGGGTGGATGGATTTCAGAGGGGGTGGAAATGAAACTTTAGATTTTTTTGCCTAGTCTTTAATTGAAATTTAACTTTTCCTTCGATACTGGACAGAGTCAGCAAAGTAATCCAGAAAAGTCTATCAATCTCACTGGTATTCTTCCTTTAAAAAGGGTATTTGTCTTATTACCGACTTGATGCATGCATAAAGAAGCACTTACTCTACTACATTACATTCTTTCTATACTTCGATAACTGTATTTGAGCATAACTGGTTTCCTCTGTAACACGATCAAAGTAGTTTATTTAAATGGGTTTTTCTGAGAACGTTTGGAGAGGCTGCCTACCACAGAAAGGATTAAAAGGCCTTGCTTTAGATATAATTTTTTTGTTTTTTGTTTTCCCGCTCCCTATAATAGTGCCTGGATGGAATCGGACACTTTTGAATGTGAGCTGTGTGGATTAACAGCCCCTTACAGCTACTATGGACATAAACCTCCCAACGCCTACTCAGTCACGTAAGTAGATGGCCCTTCCCATTTTTTTCTCACTACTCAGGACCTGTTTCATGGAGAAGCCACACAGCTGATCACCAGGGCTCCTGCTTGCACCAAAGGCAGACCCCCGGAGGGACAGGAGCACAGGGGAAAGTGGGTGATCAGCTGTGTGGATCATCAGCTGTGAAAATATCTACAGACCCCTCACATCCTGGACATAAATTGTTTCAACGTCTACCCTCAAAAAGATGCTATAGGGCGCTGCACACCAGAACAACTAGACACAAGGACAGTTTTTTTCTTGAATGCCATCACTCTGCTAAACAAATAATTCCCTCAACACTGTCAAATCATTTACTAAGACTGTATTACTATTATTCTTCTCTTCCTTCCTAGTATCTATCTCTTCCCACTTATTACTATAACCATGTTGCTTGTATCTTTCAATTTATATTGTTTTTGTTTCCTAGTACGATTTGATAGCTTATTAGTAACCTTGACTATCATTAAGTGTTGTATCTTGTTATTTTTGATGAATGTATTTTATTCTCCTTATGTACACTGAGAGCATATGCACCAAGACAAATTCCTTGTGTGTCCAATCACACTTGGCCAATAAAGAATTCTATTCTATTCTATTCTATTCTATTCTATTCTATTCTATTCTATTCTATTCTATTCTATTCTATTCTATTCTATTCTATTCTATTCTATTCTATTCCATTCCATTCCATTCCATTCCATTCCATTCCATTCCATTCTATTCTATTCTATTCTACCCTACCCTACCCTACCCTACCCTACCCTACCCTACCCTACCCTACCCTACTCTACTCTACTCTGCTCTACTCTTGATCATTCCTTTCCTTTTTCAAAGTCTGGGTTGGCACTTCCTGTAACTATTCCTTTAGGCAGTAGTATGGCCCTGAAGTGAAGTAAGGGACGTGGTGGCTCAATGCCTAAGATGCTGAGCTTGTCAAGCGAAAGGTCGGCAGTTCAGTGGTTCGAATCCCTAGTGCCGCGTAACAGGAGTGAGCTCCCGTGACTTGTCCCAGCTTCTGCCAACCTAGCAGTTTGAAAGCACGTAAAAAATGCAAGTAGAAAAATAGGGACCACCTTCGGTGGGAAGGTAACAGTGTTCCGTGCACCTTTGGCGTTTAGTCATGCCGGTCACATGACCACGAAGACGTCTTTGGATAGCGCTGGCTCTTCGGCTTTGAAACGGAGATGAGCACCAACCCCTAGAGTCTGGAACGAGTAGCACATATGTGCGAGGGGAACCTTTACCTTTACCTTTTATGGCCCTGAATAATCCAGAAGGCCACATCTCAACATTAAAGCTTTTGGTGGGTTGGAGGCCTGGAGAACCACATTTATCTTCCAGATTCTGAAAGCCTCACCCACCACCATCAACTGAGAGGTAGCTATGGCCACCCTGGGACCAACCTCTGCCTTGAAGACATCTCAGATGCTTCTGAGGTCTATCAGCAGCCTGCTCACAGGCTCCTTCTTTTCTCCCATGTTTTAACATTTATTTGATTTTTGAAGGAACAATGGGTGGTTTTCTCTTGTTTTAGCAATTGGGCGTATTTTGAAATACCATGTTTCCCCAAAAATAAGACCCCGTCTTATATTTTTTTGAACCCCGAAATAAGCACTTGGCCTTATTTTCGGGGCGGTCCTATTTTGGGGCGAATGGAGCAAGAGGGGGCTCCTTTTGCCGTCTTACCTGATTTCCAGCTCTGTGTTTAAATATTTTCGGGGAGGGCTTATTTTCAGGAGGAGGCTTATTTTAGTACATGTGATCAAAAGCCTGATTGGGCTTATTATCAGGGGATGTCTTATTTTCGGGGAAACAGAGTAGTCTCTAGTAAACTAATCTGTCCTGGACGTATGACCATAATGATGCCTGCCTGTTATGGTCATATGTCGTAATGGTGGTAAAATGGGCCAGTCACATAACTGACCAGATTTTACAACCTTTTTTTTGTGGTCGGTCAATAAGCGAATGCAGCAGTCGTTAAATGAACCGGTGATTCATTACAGCTCAGTTTTGCTGAAAACCGGAAGTGCCGATTTTCAACAAACGGTCATAAAATGCAATCGTGGGACATTGCAAAGGGCTGAAAATGCAGCTGTGTTGCCAAGCACCTGAAGTTTGATCACATGATGATGGAGGGGCCTGATCCTCTGAACTTCAAATTCAGGTCATTTTTTTTTTTTTTTGAGTCAATCAAAATTGACTCAAAATTGACAATGATGAGTTTCTTGGCTTATTTATTTATTTATTTATTTATTTATTTTATTGAATTTCTATACCGCCCTTCTCCCGAAGGACTCAGGGCGGTGAACAGCCACAGGATAAAACACATAAATACAAAAATTTAAAATAAAATAAAAACGAATTAAATAATTTGGCTGAACAAATTTAAAATACCCCATAATTTAAAAACAAATTAAAATTTACATTTAAAAAGGGGAGAAGATTTAGGTCAGGCCAGCTTGATGAAATAAAAAAGTCTTAAGCGCGCGACGGAAGGTGCGCAGATCCGGGATCCTCCGTATCTCCGGGGGGAGCTCGTTCCAGATCGTAGGTGCCCCCACAGAGAAGGCTCTCCCCCTGGGGGCCGCCATTCGACATTGTTTGGCCAACGGCACCTGGAGGAGCCCCTCTCTATGGGAGCGTACTGGCCAGTGGGAGGCTATTGGTGGTAGCAGGCGGTCCCGTAGATAACCAGATCCTAAGCCATGGAGTGCCTTATCAACCGCCTCCTATTTTTAAGATAGGAAGCTGCTGATCTCGAAACTCAGAGGGGCTTTGCTTAGAGCTGGGAAGCGTCTGTGTGCTTAAATTGCAATTGTGGGTTTTTGTTTTTTTTTACAGCCTCCTGGAAGACTGTTATGTTATGAAGGACCCGTTCACCCCAGACAAGGACAAATTCCTTATCCTTGGAGCGCGGTGTAGTCTCTGTCACAAACGGGTGTGTGCTGGCCCGGTAAGTATCATGTGATCCCTCTGTATGTCTGTCGCTGGGGTCTGTGTTCCTCGGTCAATTATTGGCATCAGAGTTGGGCAGCCAGCTTTTCTGAATTCCAAAATGTCATTCCAGAGTCGGGACTCAAGGCCTCCGTTATTTTTAAAGGAGCAGACAATTGTCATCGGGGTCAAAATAACCTTTAGCTACCCTGCAAGGGGTCCTCGACTTAACAACCATTCATTCAGTGACTGTGCAAAGTTACGGCGGCGGCATTGAAGAAAAAAAAAAAGGACTTACGATCAGTCCTCCCTCTTACAACAGCCGCAGTGTCTCTACGGTCACAGGATCTACATTTGGGCACGTGGCAACCAGAATGTACCAGCATAGTCCTCGATTTACAACAGTTCGTTTAGTGGCCATTCAAAGTTGCAACGGCACTGAAAAAAGTGACGTACGACCGTTTTTCACAGCTACGACCTTTGCGGGCATCCCCCACGATCACGAGATCAAAATTCAAATGCTTGACAGCTGGCATGGATTTATGACCATTACGGTGTCCTCTGGTCACACAATCCCCTTTTTGCGACCTTACGACAAACGAAGTCAATGGGGAAGCCAGATTCATTTACTAACCGGGTTGCTAACTTATCAACTGCAAGTGATTCACTTAACGACTGTGGCAAGAAAGGCCGTAAAATGGAGCAAAATACACTCAACAAATGTCTCACTTAATAACAGAAATTTTGGTCGGAATTGTGGTCATAAGTCAAAGACTGCCTATATAGGAAAATTGGAGAAAAAAAAGAGATCCAGAAAAATTGCTTTAGTGCCCCCTAGTGGCCCTGTGGGTCAGCCCAGGTAGAGTGTTCTTATCACGAGGAGACCAGCGATATTTTCGACCAGCGACATTTGTGCTGCTCCCCTAAAATAGTCGATGTCCCCAGATTAGGCCAACTCCACCCCCATATTTTTGGCAGTGCAGTCATTGAGGCCTTTTTAATAGTTGTCCCTGATTGCAAGTTTAGGGCGATATGCCATGTAGTCCACTGCCTTTGTAGTCCAGATAGTATCTTAATTCACATCTTCAATTGTAGTGACCTCTGTACTTAAAAACCAGTATTTTTCGAACTTGGCAATTTGTAGGAATTCAGGGAGCTGAAGTCCATCCATGCATCTTAAAAGTGAGCAAAGTTAGAAAAACATTGATTTCAATGAATAAACGACCGACGAAGCGCTAGTGAAGAATTGAGGCACAGCCAAGCTTATTATAGAAGTGAATGTTACACTCTGAATATATAGAATGTAATGTCTGGCTCTGGAGCGTTACTAAACGATTACACCCATCCACCCACACCGATACACATACACACCCTCCGTCCCAGCCACTCACCAGGCAGGGTTTGTCTCAACTCCTTTGGCTGGCCAGGCGCAGGAGATGAGATCCAACAGCCTGGCTCAGTTGCTATGCCCCTCAGCGCCCCCCCTCCCCCAAATCCAGTTATTTTGTGAATATTGGACCAACTTTCTTCCGAAGACACCAAAAGGAAGACTCTGGGAGCGAAAAAAAAAAGAGTGGGTGGAATTAAATACTTTCTCACTTCGTTCTGTTCCATTCTGAGGGAACAGGGTGGACTCTGGCTGGAGAGGTTCAGGCCTTGTAGAACAGAGATGGAGGGATGGATAGCTGGAGGTGTAGGTAGGTAGATAGATAGATACGGAGTTTGAAGTACTTTTTGCCTGTCCCGAGTTCCCAAAAGTGGTAGATTGCGAAGGCATGAGGAGGAATTCTTTGATCTCCTACTCTGTTAAAGGTAAAGGTCCCCCCGCACATTCGTGCTAGTCGTTCCCAACTCTAGGGGGCGGTGCTCATCTCCATTTCAAAGCCGAAGAGCCAGCGCTGTCCAAAGACATCTCCATGGTCATGTGGCTGGCATGACTCAACGCCAAAGCGCACGGAACGCTGTTACCTTCCCACCAAAGGTGGTCCCTATTTTTCTACTTGCATTTTTTATCTGCTTTCGAACTGCTAGGTTGGCAGAAGCTGGGACAAGTAACGGGAACTCACCCCATTACGCGGCACTAGTGATTCAAACCGCTGAACTGCCGATCTTTTGATCGACAAGCTCAGCGTCTTAGCCGCTGAGCCACCGCGTCCCGCGTATTCTGTTAATTTCTCCCAAAGAATTAAAGATGGCGGATAATTTTTATTCCCACCAGGGCCCAGCAGGGCAAGAGCTGAACTGGATTCTGCTTGCTGAGCTTGGAGGGCACTTTCACTGGCCCAAAGCAGACTTCTGATCATGGTTTCTAGGGCAAGCCACTTCAGGAAAGGTCTAAATCTTTTCAGGATGGTCTCTTCATGCCGAGTCTTGCGTTTGTGTCTCTTGCCGAGAAGAATTGCACGTATGAACAGATTGCATCAAATGTGATCGGAAATGGCCAGAATCTCTGACCTGCTGTGAGGCTTGTCAGAAAGGAGTGATTTTCCCAAGTTGTGCAAACATTTTCTTTTCCCCTCCCAGTTTCCATTCACCCACATATGGGTGTGCTCAGAAGCAATGATTCATGAGCCATTTCGTTCCTCATTTCCCTTTCTGAAAATGAGGAAACTAAAAGTTATTCAGGGAAATGTCATGACAACCGGTTGTGGCTTGCCTCTGGAACAGAAGCGACAGGTGGTCCTCGATTTATGACCGCAACTGAGCCCAAATTTATGTTGCTAAAGTCAAACATTTGTTGAGGGCCCCGTTTTACGGCTTTTCTTGCCACTGTTGTTAAGTGAATCATTGCAATGGTTTAGTAACATGGTTGTGAAGTGAATCTGGCCTTCCCATTGACGTCACTTGTCAGGAGGTCGCAAAAGAGGATCATGTGACACCCCCACCCCCCCGGGACGCTGCCACCGTCATAAATATGAACCAGTTGCCAAGATATCTGAATTATGATCACATGACCATGGGGATGCTGCAACGTTCATAAATGTGAAAAACGGTCATAAATCACTTTTTCCAGTGCTGTTGTAACTTTGCACGATCACTAAATGAACTCGGAAGTCCAGGATTTGGCTCAATAGCAGTATCTGTGAGTGGGATCTTGAAGTCCTTTACAAAGCCTTAGTATGACCACACTTGGAATACTGCATCCAATTTTGATCACCACAATATTAAAAAGATGTTGAAACACTGGAAAGACTGCAGAGAAGAGCAACAAGGATGATTAGGGGCCTGGAGGCTAAAACTTATGAAGGACGGTTGTAGGAATTCAGTTTGTCTAGTCTAGTGAAAAGAAGGACATGGGGCGACATGATAAGAGTGTTTCAATATTTGAAGGGCTACTACGGGGGTCGGCAACCTTAAACCCTCAAAGAGCCACAAAGGTCCTAACGGGAAGCTCCCTGTCTCCTCCTAGTGTGGTGTTCTTTTTCCTCTACCTGTCCTAACCAAAAGCCTTATCAATTGTGGAGCCGACTGGAAAACCCGTCCCTTGCCATAAAGTCTCCTCCTGGCACGCCATGCCCCCCCCCCCATTAACCGGAAGCTCCTCTCAAAATTGTGGCGCCGACTAGTGACAGGGAGCCGCAGCAGAGGGATGAAAGAGCCACATGCGGCTCCAGAGCCACGGGTTGCTGACCCCTGGGCTACTACAAAGATGTGAGGTCTGTTGTGGCTCCGTTGCTTGAGCCTGGGCTATCGACAGATGCAAACTCTGAGAGTGAGGGAGTGGAGTTGGCAAGGCTTCCCTCTCCAGGACCCTCCTCTCTGGCAATGCCTCCGGAGGATACCAAAGGCCAAAAGATAGCCCAGAACCAAGCACGTCCCCGCAGCCACAGGTGGACAGCAATGAAGAAGATAAGTGCTGGCTGGACCTCGGCAGAGGCGCAGGGAGAAGCGTGCGCAGCAGAGGGGAAGGCGTGCCAGAGATTAGCTGAGTCACTGGACCACACCCCACAGGGTATAAATGTGGGTGTGGTGGCCGGTTCACTTTGTGACGAGCAAAAACTAGAAATAATCCATGATCTCTGCGTTACTGGACTTCTGCCTGCCTTGTCGGACTGCATTTGGACTAATCCTTGTATTGCGGAAACTTTGCCTGCTTTATCGGAATGCTTGCAGTCTAATCTTTGTTTTATGTGAGTAAAGTCTGAATTGGCAGTTAGCCACTGGGTTGCTGCCAGCTTTATCTTCAAAGATTTTGTCGTGTGGCTTATTAACTCCGGGCTGTCTGTGGGGGTGCGTCTGTGGGACGGGGACAGAACAAGGTCAGACTATTTTCCAGAGCATCAGAAGACAAAACAAGAAGCAATGGATGGAAACTGAACAAAGAGATATCCAACCTAGAACAGTTCTAACTGTCAGGAGAAATATCCTGACAGTTAGAACAATCAACTAGTGATTATAACTTGCCCAAAGTTGTACTGCTCACAGTTCTACACAGAGCCTCCTCAAAGCAAGGAGGACCAAGGCCAAAGAACACCTCTGTTGGAATGAAGGTTTGTTAATCCGACTCACGGGTTGATTTTTCCTTTTTCTATTTATTTTTCAGGACTGCAGTCTTTTCTATTCCAAACGGTTTTGCCTCCCTTGCGTGAAAGCGCACATAACTGAATTTCCTTTGGAAATAGAAGAAGATTTGAAAAAAAAAGCACACTCAAAATCGTCCAAAAAAGGAGATTCTAAGAATTTGGGGAAAAGCTAGGGTTGATTTTACTGCAGAATATACTTTTGGTTCACTAGAATAAAAATGGGGTCTCTGGTAGTAGATGGTATTGTTTTAATTCGTTGCGAATTTTAAGCTGCTATCTTGTTAAGCTTATCTGGCAGACAACCGCTGCTAACCAGGAGAGCTGGCTTTGAATATAAAACAGGCCTGGAATAAACTAGCCAAACCTGATATTCCTGTTTAGAAGGATTGAGATACAGGAGATAAAGAGTTCCGTTTTTGGTTTATATTTCTCTTTTAAGCATGGCCCAACTTCCACAGCTCTGCTACCTTCTGTGAGGGTCAGTTTCCAACTTCTATTCTGTATTTGCATCATCATCTCCTTTTAACCACCCCATAATCCCTTGCGGGGTGGAGTCTGGGCAACTGAATGGAGCTAGCAGAGGGTTTAATGGCCAGATGCCCTTCCTGTCGCCAATGGGGAGTTTTGTTCAGCAGATCTATTCTCAGTGTGCCCAGAGAGAGAAATATCTACCTCTAACTAGGATCGAACTCACAGCCTCCTGATTGTGAGGTGTGAGAGCCACCTCTAGGCCATCGCACCACTCCCCATTCTGGATTTGCATCTGGATCTGAAAAATCAACATGGTGGCTACAGCAGTGCAATTAAAGCTCATCGCCTGTTGTGGTCTGCCAGCAGCCTGTGGAGCTGGCAGCGGAGTCAGACAGTGAGGAGGCTGGGGAAGAACATGGGCCAGTCCTGGAGTCTGGGGAAGGCCCGGACGAGGGCTCTGCGTTGGAGGCAGAGACGGGGCCAGGGCCATCTGGGAGTCATGCACGCACTCCGGAGCCTCCAGACTTGGACAGCAGAGAGGCAGAGGAACAGGAGGAGCCCGTTCCTAGTGCACGCATGCGCAGAGCTGCCAGAAGGCAAGAGCAGCTAAAGCAAAAGGGACGACTCAGGAGAAATGCCAGGAAATGACTGGCCCCTCCCATAAGGCTTAAAAGAGAAACAAAGGCACTTGGGCTTTTTGCAGGAAAGCAAAGTTGCTAACTCTGTTTCCAGCTGGCATCTCTTTTTGTTTTTGAATTTCGTGGGGCTTTGTCAAGTAAGGCCTTTGGCAGGGTGTCAAAGAAGATAAAGGTTGGTGATTATCCCGAAGGACTTCTTCTGAAGGACTTGTTTTGCAACTAATTGGGACTCAGCTGGGAATGAACGTAATTCTCAGCTGTTACAATAAGATAGGTTTGTTTGGGACTAATTGTGTCTTGTAATGACTCCATTCCCATCCCACTGCAGGGGAAGGATATTGCAAAATCTCCATTCCCACCCCACTCTAGGGGAAGGATACTGCAAAATCCCCATTCCCTCCCTACTCCTGGGGGAAGGATATTGCAAAATCCCCATTCCCACCCCACTCGGGGCCCAGCCAGAGGTGGTATTTGCTGGTTCTCCAAACTACTCAAAATTTCCGCTACCGGTTCTCCAGAACCTGTCAGAACCTGCTGGATTTCACCCCTGGTTCCTGCGGTATCTGACTACATGACACGGCCAGGCGGTCCATCAATTTAAAATATGAAGGCAATAAATGGAATTGGCTCCCAAATCCGTGCTAGCAAATGTTTAATGCACAAAGAGCAAATACTTCTCCGTGCTGTTACTTGTTCAGCTGGGCCAGTGTCGAAAACTCTGGCCTCAGGCCATTTCCGCATGGAAATGATAGCTCTACAGTGGAATTAATTGGGTGCCAACTCGGTCTTTCCACATTTTTGCAGGCTTTGGCCAGGGCTATTTCCCACTTTCTTCCTGATGTAAAAAGGCCGGTTGAGGAAATGCTAAAGACCCATGTCATGGTTGCAAAATCAGAAGTCCCTCCCAAGAACGCTGCCACAGGAATCGGATAAACCTTGGGCCTTTCAGTACACAGGCAGGGACATCTGAGGGAGGGAGTGTTCTCTTTAGCGTCCGGTTGATTTTTTTCCAAACCGGATTCTGAATTGGGACGGCATGTTTTATACGGCTTTCTTTGAAATTTACCCTTCATTTAAATCCGCATTTAGGATTTTGTTTTTCGTCTGGCTACGCAAGCAGCATTTCAGTTGGCCTTTGCTGATCTTTTTAAAACCAAGCAGGGATTGAAAACTTCCCAAGATAATCGCAAAGTATTTCCATATTCAAGGCCACGTCTTGAGCATGTGGTCACAGCTGTCATCTTGGGGAGTAGAATGGAATGGAATGGAATGGAATAGAATAGAAAATAGAAGAATAGAATAGAATAGAATAGAATAGAATAGAATAGAATAAATTGAATAGAATATAGAAGAATAGAATAGAATAGAAGAATATAGAAGAATAGAATATAGAAGAATAGAAGAGAACAGAACAGAACAGAACAGAATAACAGAGTTGGAAGGGACCTTGGAGGTCTTCTAGTCCAACCCCCTGCTTAGGCAGGAAGCCGTACACCTCTTCAGAACATAAAATGCAGGAGAAGTTATTGTTCCTTTTTTATTTTACTAAGAACGCTTTGCTGCAAGTAGCATTTTCGTGAGAGAATGTTGTCTACGGGCAGCGATGTTTTACTAACTTTTGTCTTCAGTTAATTATTTCCTCCGGGTCATGAGACAGGACACTATCTTCATTAAAACGCAGGCCATTTTTTTTTTAAAGAAATACTTTATTTGAGGCCATTAAGGCAAGGGGGGGGGAAAATCACACAGTGAAATTGCTCTTTACATACATTCATCAGTCTTACAGAAAAAAAATTTAAAGTACTGTACACACAGATGTTGACCAAGAGATTCCCAGCAGACTCATTAAATACCTATTTTATTAGTCAAGCTTCTATTCTTTGAATAGGGAAATTAGAAGGTCCGATTCAAGGTTTGAGAAACACTATAAACGGTAGTTTTGTATTGTAAAAGGCATGAGAAAAATCCAATGTTGCTTTACTATAAATCCCAGTTTTGGCTAGAATAACTCACCGTTGCCTCCTGAATGGGAGACATCATGGGTACCGTTCGTTGATCTGAATTTCTGCCCAGAGTTATTACCTTCATCTGGTGAAGCAGGTGACAAAATCTGAGTCCTCTTTAAATATATGAGAATCCAGAATCAGAATGACTTAAAACTTTTAAGCACTCCAGAATTTTGCGTAAAAAGTGACAGGCTTCTCATTATGGATGATAGAACATCTAAATGCATTTTAAGCTAAAATCTTTTTTTTAAAAAAGCAAGTGAAATGTTTTTCATCGGTATCGAGCGTCTTCCTTATTAAGGACAATATTGATAAACATGTGCTACGCACAAATTTTGAACCAGCAAATCACCTTCAAAGGCAATCTAGAAAAGCTTTTTTCAGAATCAAGCTTTTTTTTTCTTTTTCTTGTCTTATCCCTCAACTTTTACTATGCTGAAAATAATTCTTTATATTTCTCCCAAGTCTATCTGCCTAGTGCAGAGGTCTTCAAACTTGGCAGCTTTTAAGACTTGTGGACTTCAACTCCCAGAATTCTCCAGCCAGCATACCTACGCTGGCTGGAGAATTCTGGGAGTTGAAGTCCACAAGTCTTAAAGCTGCCAAGTTTGAGGACCCTACCCAACTGGATTAACATCATCAACCCCGATTTTAAATCCCCACAAACTCCGTGCAATAGAAAAAGAGTTAGCTGATGTCCTGTAGCTGCTTTTAAGGACAGCTAAAGCTGGTTTAGTGATTGTTACTTAAGTGCTTTAGAGGCCAAATTTCCACTTTCATAAAACCTCCATTTCTTCCTCCCTTTATTATGGAGGAAGATGTTTTCTAGTTTTAGCCCTATAATCTCTGTGCAGCAGAGATGGCAAATGATTATTCCTTCTTTTCAATATGCCATCTTTCCAAGTGATCTTCAAACTTCTTGAAGAAAAGGAGGCACTTGAAGGCAACATTTGACACTACTTTTGGTACCATCCACTCCTCCTTGCAAATGAATGGAAAGCAACATTGGCTTCCAGTTCCTTCCTGAGATTTCAATTAGGCTCCTCTGGATTGCAATCCACTTAGAGGGAACCACTGTCTTAAGGTAGCTGCCTCCCTAGACAGTTCTCCCATCATACCGGATGCTGTACGGAACTACCTTTTATACCAAGATATGCCCAAGCTTGACAACTTTAATATTTGGCCGGCTGGGGAATTCTTGGAATTGAAGTCCGCTGGCAGTGGTGAAATCTTCCCCGATTTGCCACCGGTTCGCTGCCCGTTCATGTGCAGTGCGCAACAAACGTGCGCTTTGCGTGGAAAAAGGAGGCTTGGGAAGGTAAGTAGAACAGCGAGGGTGGGGGACAGCTGTGCCGCGTGATTTAAATTCACTAGAAAGTAGGATTTCCTGCTTTCTACCAATTTTAAATCGCGCGGCACACCTGATCGTTGGAAATACCAGTTCAGAGGAATCGGTAGGGTTTTTTTTACTACCGGTTTGCCCAAACCGGTAGTTTTTATCACTATCGGTTCTCCCGAACCGGTGCAAACTGGTAGCATTTCACCGCTGTCCACAGGTCTTAAAAGTGGCCCAAGGTTGGACACTCCTGCTTTATACAATTCAGGACTAAAAATGGCATCTAGCGCGGCTGCTCTGATTCCCTTGAATATATCAAACATAACCAATAGCTGGGCCTATTCTGCAAGCAACACCGAGGGACACGCGACATTTTAGGTGGAGATGACAAGAACTCTTTAAGTGGACTTAGCAACTGCCCTCCAACACATTTTCCAAGATGATGGGCAAGAGGTGACTTTGTGCATATTAAGAGACCTTGAAACTTGCATTGTTTCTCTTTCTCCCCCTTGCTGAACAGCAATAATAGGGGGAATTTATAGGAAAGTGCTCAAAAAGTGCCATGGCACAAAACTGTTGAGGTGGGGTACCAGCCCTTTAGAAGGCGAGTGAGAAAAGAGACATGAAACGGAAGTACCAGCCAAAAACTCTTCCCCTTCTGGGTCATTAAACAAACCACAATGGAAGCTTTGCCATGTTTGTCCACAATGATCTTTGGGATATGGCTTGGTAAATTGCTATCACATTTTCAGCTTCAAACCCCCCACCCTCCCTCAGTATAGAAATAGAATTCAAAGGCCAATGTTTGTCAAATACAGTCAACAAGTATTTTCATAACATTGTGGACAATCCAATTCACCATAAGAATACTTTACAGTTTAATAACAGAAGCTGAAAATTAAATATATATATATACTGTTAAATCCTTGGGCTAAATCTACAATTCTTCCCTAAAAGCTGAGTTATAATCATACAGGTACAGCTTTCATACCATTTAAATATGGAGAAGAAATCCATGTTTTTGATTTCCTTTCAGTGTTTTGCTCTACAACTCGGGAATAGCTTTTAAGATATGCTAAATAACTCCAAACCATTCAGAAACAAGGCACTGGAAAGCAGATAGTTACAGTACAATACAGCTGACTGAATTCCTCATTGGGTTTTCTTTTACTGCTGCCTCAGACCAAGGAACAAAAGTGCAGGAAAAAAGTAAGTTATGGATAAAGTGGTAGTCAGTACTACAGTTCAAGTCTGCTTAAAATGGGCATGAAAAACACGTTAAGCTTGCATTGCAAAGACTCATCTTTAAAGACGGAGGTACTTAATTGATCAACTTGTGTTCTCAATATATATCACTAGAATGCCTTCAAATAAAACCTGAACTAAAATGTTTACCGACAACTGCTTACATGAGGAAAGGGAATCTGCAGGCATGGTCCAAAACCCCCCTAGGATGTTGGCTATGACAGTGCAATCAAAGCTTGATCTGGGTTTTTTGGTATGTGTATGGCACTTCTGGTAAAAAAAACAGATGGGAGCCTTGATTCCACCACCGTGGCTGTACTCTGCAGACATGAGGACTGTGTCTATAATTTGCAAATTGGTGGAACCGAATCTTACCGTTGCTGCTTTTGTATCTTGCTATGGGTACCCAGAGGGAGCCCAACGGAGAGGGAAGGCAGACAAAGCAACTACCCTTGTTAATTGGCGTAATTCATCAAGAAGGGGGAGCTATAAATCTCTCCCATTAATTTCAATATACTGAAATCTCATACGTCCCCTGTCTCATTAGATTTGAGAGCAGTACAGAGGAATTTTACATTGCTGCCTAGGGATTTCTAAAAGCTTTAATTACAAATACAGTGCAAATTCAGTGCATATTATCCCTACATTTAAATTGGTTGCTCGTGAAAGTCATCTGGGAGGTCGACGGATTCCTACGAAGCCTCAAGATTAAATCCTCAATGTAAGGGGGGGGGAAGGGGAAATCAAATGCATAGTAACTGTAAACATTTACCTTATACTATTCTTAGCAGGCTGATGACACTGGGTATTAGGCTATATAACACTTTCCACCAGCTCGTAATGAATTTCCCACTCATTCACTAACACTCGACTCCTTGGAGTCTGTATTATACGATGAACCTCCTACTGTTATTTTAAAATCGGTGATATTAACATTCGGTAAGTTTGTTCATGGCCCTTTCCTACGAATTGGATGAAAGCTTCTAGCGTGTTGAATCGAGCAGTCAACATGACTTCCCAACTATCTCAAAAGAGGTGGAAAATTCGTAGGGTATATGGGTCCACATGAGTGTAAAATTTCTTCCCTACCGTCCATGAAAAATGCTAAGCCATGAAAACAAAGAGTTGGGTTATGCAACTTGAAAATGCAAGCAAACTTTTGAAGGACTATTTGGAGGACTCCAGTTTGGCCTCCATTTGGGGTGGCCAAAATTTCCTTTCTGATATGAAGGAATTCAACCCAATGCAGAAAAATAACCGGCATAAATTCCCTTCTTAATTTATGAACCTGTCAGGTTTCAGCTAAAAATAGCATTTTCAACAAAAGTTCATCAAAACAGAGTCCGTTTCAAGAAATGTTTCGGACACGAGGGGGAATCTTGACCTGATTTCAATGGAATTTACTTAAAATGTGTGTGTTGCTAAGGGGCCTGAAGAAAGAAATTGGTATTGTACTGCGTAAGAGGTTTTGAGGCATAACTTTTTGACGTGGTGCGAGGCTGGTTAAAACTTTGCTAGAAGGCAAACATCTACAAAGTATATCCGCTCCTTTCTCTCTTCTCTATTGCCAATCCGCGGGGAGGCCCCCTAGCCAAAAGGGCGCCAACCTGGATGCCTTGTTGATGTGGCTGCCCTTTGCACAACTCCCATTAAGGGGCAAGGAACAATGAGCAAATAAAGGTTATGCCATACAGAGAACATCAATATAGCAGGGGTCAAGCAAGCAGCATCCATATAATATCAATGCAGGTTTCCACTTTTCTGGGAAAATATATATATATATTATACAGTCTATGTTTAAAAAGCGGAATAGCAAGACATTTATTCTTTCTCTAAACACCATTCACATGATGCAAGTATTCTGGCTGACAGGCACGGACCTTCCTGAGCCGGCCAGTATGATACGTTAATATTTCTTGAACAATTTGATTTATAACTTTTTTTTTTTATTTTATTAGTTGAGGTAGTTTGGTTTTATTTTGGGGAAGCAAAACTTCCCAGTGTTAATTTCTATTTTATTGCCCCAATCCTGAGTAATCTGAATAGTAGTGCAAACAGTTTTTTTTTATACCATATTTCTAGACAGTGTTTCTATTAAAATATATTTGCATAAGCTGCTGTTCCGTCTGAATTCTTTCTCCCGTTTTAATTCTTATTGAGTCAGTTTCAGATGTGGGAAATGGAATAGAAAGGGCTCAGAAACAGCTCTTTATGACACTTTAAATTATGATAAGATTATAAACAAAAGCTGCTGCAGAGAAAGACCTGGTCAGTTGGAAGCCAGTGTCAGTAAATGCCACTTTTAAGTAAAGTGGGGGATAAATTGATGAAATAAAATCACTTCCTGCAAGAAAGATGCTTTCTAAATAACCCAAATCAGCACTTTTTTCGCCTATGATTTCCACACAGTTTGTTTAAGACATTTTGATTATAAAACGATTTCTACTCTGTCAAATGTGTTTGGAGCTTTGCAAAAAGTAGGCCTATTTTCAATAGTATGAAAATCCTCACCTACAAAATGATTAAGAATATACAGGTAATTATAATTCCAATTTGATATTAGAATACATTGGATACTTATCTTTTTTTTTTTCTTTAAGAAATCAGGGTTTAAAAAATGTACGGTCTAGAAAAACTGACGAAAATATTATTGGAAGATCTTAACACGACAGAGCTTCCAGGGACATAATTAACTGTGGGAAATTTGGGACTTTTTCAAAATCAAGGCCTTTTTAGGATAATCTGAACAAATTGAAACTACAGTTGTATATACAGCATTGAAAGACTGTAAGACCCTCTTCAGAATTTGGTTTGAGATGGCTAAAGAAAGGTGGATAAACAACCCTCAGAAATACAAACAATTTCAGATATGGTTTTAGAAGGTACCTGGTTACTAAATGCAATGCACTAGATTATCTGAAGGATTTAAATGTCTTAAAAGTCTAACACATCCCCTCTCTTAAAAATACACAGACACCATCAGTGGAAGATTGGGTTTAGACAAACCTGTAGACCGGGGGTATCTAAACTCAACAACTTTAAAATCTATGGACTTCAACTCCCAGAATTCCCCAACCAGCGTGGCTGGCTGGAGAATTCTATGAATTGGATGTCTGCAAGTCTTAAAAGTTTGGGATGCTGTAGACTATTCAAGATACCACTTGAGGGTTGAGCTGCAGTATTTTGGCTGCCATCAAACTAGGAAATAATCTGTAGTGTTAAGTAACTCCCAATTTCTGTTTTACATTTCAGTGCAAATTATATGCCGATGGTATTTGACACTGTTTCCGTGAAATATTGGGTATTCTCCATCCTTAAATGCAGGATTATAATCCATTCAAATTCCAGTCTGACCTTCTTATTTTAGACATTCAAGGCTGAAGCCAACCTATGAGGCCACCTTAGTCTCCATAACTAAGGGGATGTTAGTCAACGATTATCAGTCATGGAGCTTGGTTCATATCGTAGTAAAGGAAGCACAAGAAGCTCATATTCCACTGAGATTCCCGAAGTCTTTGAGATCTGGCACCATGATGGAATCCAACTTCTCTTCAATCTTGGCTGCTCTCCTTAGTCCGTGCCCTCTCTCCAACCCTCAAGAGGTACATTTTGAAGGGATGGAAGGCTGTGGGAGGGGGGTGGAAATCATCATTATCCTATCCCATCATTCCTCTGATGTTCCGCCTGAAGTCCTCCATACTACACAGCTAAACTTATAGAGGTGCCACATAATTCTATGGAACTCGGATTGTAATCTTAGCCAGAAAAATTAGTGCTGTTTTTTTCTAAGAAAAAACTTGCTTCTGTAGCAATAGCACTTAAGAGTTATATACCGCTTCGTAGTGCTTTACAGCACTCTCTAAGCAGTTTACAGAGTCAGCCTATTGCCCCCAACAATCTGGGTCCTCATTTTGCCGACCTCGGAAGGATGGAAGGCTAAGTCAACCTTGAGCCGGTCAGGACCGAACTGCTGGCAATCGGCAGAGTTAGCCTGCAATACTGCATTCTAACCATTGCGCCACCACGGCTCTTCAACGGTCACCGATCTAGTACCAAATGCAACCAATCCCAGGAACAAAGTCAGACGCATCTAAAAGATGTATATATGCCCTTTCTCCCTTCAATGGCTAATCCTCTTCACCTTTATTTTCGAAACATCCCTGAGTTTCAAGTATAATTCCTCCTACAAACTGAGAGAGAAACAAAACAGCAAAGCCCTTCTGGCCACTGCCTGCCCCAAGGCTCTTTGGATCCTGCCCCAAACGACTGACTTTCACGTATTAAGAGAGTGGGAGTGGGGGAGGGGAACGAATGCTTAAAAGTGCAGAAACGTCAGAAGGCATGTGAATTAAGTTGTGGCATGACGGAATTCCCACCATGGCCCAAATTTCAAATCAATCACCCCTTACTATCATCATCTCTCTCTCTCTGTTATGCAATTTCTTTCAATTACTGAACCCCTGCAAGAGAAATGGATATTCCAGTTACCCAAATTCTAGGACCATTGCAAATGTTCCAACTGAAGCACGACGGAGACCAAGGCACCTGAAGCATCTGGCCGTGTAGCTACTGCTTTGCCTGCTGTACAAAATGGGAAACCGCCTTAGTACATATCCTTGTATATCTCTTGTAGCAAAGGATGTAAGTGTGCATCGGATTCGGTCTTTTTGATTATTTGAACTAGCTGAGCGTGTTCCGTGACCAGCTGCCGGAGATCTGCCATTTTCTGGAGAAGTTTGGGGAAGAGGAAGATGTCATCCGGATGGTTGTTTTCTAAATGAAGTTTCAGTACGTGCACGATGCTTTCTTGCATCTTCTCAATGTGTCCTATGTTTACCAAGCCTGGCCGATCTGTTCTCAAAAATAAGAACATTGTATTACGTTATCTTATCACGGCTAACAGGTGTCAAAACATTTATCTGTGTTTGAGTCTAGTGGAAAATGCGTTGTCACTTAGCTATATCAACAATGCCCAGACACTATACAGGCAGTCCTCATTTAACAACTGCCTCTTTTAGTGACCACACTTACGACAGCGATTAAAAAAATAACTTATGACCTTCACGGGTCTGAAAAGCAAAGGAAAGCTGAAATGAGATGATAAGCACAGCTGTACGCATAAAGAATATTTGTAGCTCAGGGTTGAACTGTGAGGTTCTTGAAGCTCTCTGAGCTGGGCTGTTTTCTGGCTGACATTTCATTACCATACCAAACTAGGTAACATCATGACATTTGCAAGAAAACAATCAAGCTCAGAGAGCACCAAGGATCCCACAAATTGTGGTTCCACTTAGTGACTGCTTTCCTGGTCACAACACCAGCTGATAAACAAGGACCTTCTCTACCAACTTGTTGGGATACAGCATCATTTTTTAAAATTTTATTTATCCATTTTCCCCCTTAAACATACACAGGTGCTTAATGAACAGTGTATTGTCCGAGTCATTTTAGGTTTACAAAATAATAATTCTGATATTAATGATAGTAGTTGGAATAATAATAATAGTAATAATTTACTTTATGCTCAATACTAATGACAATAATAGTACTATTCGGGTATATCTGATAATAATCTTTCAACTTCTAACATCTGCATCTACATGTTAATTGTAATATATTATATAGCAATACACCTAGTACTATTTTCCCCATTTCTAATTTCTACCTCTATTTTCTAATTCTTAATCAAGCAAATCTTATATTAAGAAGTATTCTATATATATCCATAATCTCTTGCCCTTTTTAGTATTTCAACTCTTATTGATTTTTTGACTAATCTCCCATACTCCTCCCTTGGGATCTTCAATCTCCTTACATCACTCTTATTTAATTTAAATATTTCGTCCGCCTCTACATCTACCTCTCACTGTCAAATCTCCACTGTGCCCATCAATTACTCTTTCATCACTCCTCAGAGTTCTTTCTCTTTGTCCTCTTCTACATTTTGAGCTCTTAAAGCGTAGTCTGCCTGCTCCGTTTCAAGAATTTTTACTATTTCTTCCTCATCTTTATCTGTTTGTATCATTTGTTGATTTGTCTCCTCTATTTCTTCCTCTACTCTTTCTACTTTCTCCTCTATTTCTTGAATTTCTTGTACATTTTTCATTATTATTTGCGGAGAATTTCCTGATACATCTGTGTCATGTATCAGTTCCTTCATCTTCCTATGGTTCTTATCATAGCTTCCTGAATACATTGAAGCATCAATGGTATTTCTTTTCGAGATGCAACTAATTCACTCTGTTCTGACATTTTATTTTAATTTGATGGGCTAAGAATTACTCAATAATCTATCAAGATATACAGCATCATTTTGCATCCCTTTGAAAGGGCCGCTGAACTTTTTTGGCTTCTTTACCACAGTTCATATTAATCTTTGGATAAATACCTTGTTTCCCCCAAAATAAGACCCAACCGGAAAATAAATCCTAGCATGATTTTTCAGGATGCTCGTAATATAAGCGCTACCCCCAAAATAAGCCCCAGTTAAGATTGTCACCCAGATGGATGCATTTAGTACCGTATTTCCCCCCAAATAAGACCCAACCAGAAAATAAGCCCTAATGCGTCTTCTGGAGCAAAAATTAATATAAGACCAGTCTTATTTTGGGGGAAACACGGTATTAGGGATAAAGTGAGGATAAAGTGACTTGGCTTACGATTACAATTGACTCCAAAATTTATGTTATTGAGTGAGATATTTGTTAAATGGATTTTGCCCCACTTTACGACCTTTCTTGCCACGGCTAAGTGAATCTCCACAGTTGAAAGTTGGAAACATGGTTGTTAAGTGAATCTGGCTACCCCATTGATTTTGCTTGTAAGAATGTTACACAAAAGGATCCACATGACCCCGGGACACTGCTGTCAAGCATCCGAATACAAATCACATGACCATGGGGATGCTGCAAGTCATAAGTGTGAAAAATGGTCATAAGTCACTCTTTTCAGTGCCGTTGTAACTTCGGTCACTAAATGAACTGTTGTAAGTCATGGACTACCTGTATTATGAACTTTTTCATATGGAAACATCAATATGCAAACATGAAACACTCCTTCCGACTGCCAGAAAAATATTGGACTAATTCTGGTAAAGTATGGGCGATAAATACCGGATTCAAAATATCTGTTGAATCTAAAACGGGTCCCTTTCTGAGCCAAAAGCAGAACCCCTCTCAAGAAGCAGACTCCATAAAATATATTGCTATTTCAGGAAGGGCAGTGGTGAATCAAGGCTTACCTCCACAACATATTATAGCAGCCACGAAAAGGGAGATGTCGCTGTCATCTAATTCCAACGCGTTGAATTTCATGGCAAAGTCAAACTTTGGCTCCATGATATCACAAAAAGGCTTCCTTAAACTTTTGAGGAATTCTCGCGTTATGAAGCCATTCCCGTAAGCCACAAGCATCCCGTCTTTGTTCATCACGGAGGCCAACATGGCAAAGATGGCTTCGTACACCCCATATTTTAAGAGGGTCACCTGATCGTTCAAGTCGAGGCTGCAGAAGCCCGGAATTGATTTGGCAAATTCCGTGAGTTCCGTCACCGCCTCTACGGAGGTGCACTGGCAGCAATGGAAAATCCTCACCTCTGCCTCCTTGTTTTGTATTCCGTTAGCGACAAGTTTTGCCACCAGTGTCTTCTCGGCCATGCACAACGTGTCCATATCGTGTATGACAAACGGCTGCAGGAAAATAAAAAGCGCCTGAATTAAGCAACTGCCAGGAACAATACGGTGCAAACTGATTTGTGCTTGCAAAAATTGTCTTCTGGATTCAGTTGTTACAGATAAATGTGGAATCCGCAAGAAGGATCCAGTAATTTAAGGAAAGTTAAAGAGTAATTTTGACAGCAATATGGGCCATTACACATACCTGGTAATTCTGATTTGTGTTCTCTGCGGCTGTGCTTGCCGCATTTACTCACGCTAAAAATCTGATGAAAATGGTTATTGGAGTCCACAGTGCAGGGGTGAAATCCAGCAGGTTCTGACAGGTTGTGGAGAACCGGTAGTGGAAATTTTGAGTAGTTCGGAGAACCGGCAAATACCACCTCTGGCTGGCCCCAGAGTGGGGTGGGAGTGAAGATTTTGCAATATCCTTCCCCCAGGAGTGGGGAGGGAATGGAGATTTTGCAGTATCCTTCCCCTGCCACGTGCAAGCCACACCCACCAAGCCACACCACCAAGCCACGCCCACAGAACTGGTAGTAAAAAAAATTGGATTTCACCACTGCCTCAGTGGCCTCTGTGAAAGAGGGAACAGTTTGCATGAGGCAGGAAGTGCGGAGTTGACTTTAGAGAAAAAAGAGCTACAGGCAGGCAAACTCTGTAAGAGCAGGAGTGGGCAAACTATGTCCCCTTTTACGACTTGTGGGTTTCAACCCCCAGAATTCCTGAGCCAGACATGCTGGCTCAGGAATTCTGGGAGTTGAAGTCCACAGGTTATAATGCGGCCATAGTTTCCTAGGCCTGTGTTAGAGGGAGGGAAAACAAGATGGGATCCAACTCAACACAGATTCCTATCCAAAGCAATGCCTTGGAACAAAAGAAAATGATTGCAGAAATTGATGTTTTAGAATTTAAGCTCAGGCGTGTGGCTATTCCTAGCTAAACGTTTTCCAAACATGTGTCTTAAGTATTGCCAATTCAGCAAGTGAGGCTTTAACAGATTTGAATTCTCTCCAAATTATACCCACAAGGACCAAAATGTCACAATCTGCCACTTATTTTAAGCACAATATACCGTATTTTTCAGAGTATAAGACGCACCTTAGTTTTTGGGGAGGAAAATAAGAAAAAAGCTAATTGGTGGGTGGATCCACCTCCTGGAATACCCCCAATCAGCTGTTTCCAGAGGTGAATTTTAGCAACAGGTTTGTTGGTTGCGAGCTCTGTGCCTTGCTTTTTTTTCTGCCTCTGAAAGCCTCCGAAATAGTGCTTCAGAAAAAAAGGTTTTCTGAAGCTTCTTTTCTGAAGCTCTGTTTGGAGGCTTTTTTTCTGAAGCTTCTTTCAGAGGCTTTTATTCTGAAGGACTATCTGTACTTTGTTCAATCTCCTTTCTTTGGTATTGGTATGTAGATTAACCTCTTTTGATCTGTTGGTTATTGTGTCATTCTCCAGATTTATTAGCATAGTGTGGTTAGAACCTTTACTGATTTGTCTTTTGTTGCTTGCCATATCATTTTAGATAAAAACCTTTCTGAAGCTTTTTTTCTGAAGCTTCTTTCAGAGGCTTCTTTCAGCCTCTGAAATCTCCGTTTGCGAGGCTGGGGGAGGGGGCTACATTTGGAGTATAAGACGCACCCAGATTTTCACCCTTTTTTGGGGGGGAAGGTGCGTCTTATACTCCGAAAAATACGGTATTATCTGCATTGCAAAAAAAGCTTTTGGAGAAGGTGTTATGATTTTCATTTGCTTGCTAAGCTGTTGTGGTTGCTTCTTGAAGACTGAGACATACATGATTAAAATATCTGGAAAATAAAGCTGTCACTCAACTACAGAAACTTTGTCTTTGGTAACAAATTAAGTGATTTAGTATATTTACATATGGGTAGGTTTTCAGGGCTAATCAAAACTTTTTTTAACATAAGGACCTATGTGCATCACAAAAGAAACTAATGTCAAAGAGAAGGGGAACATGTCTTATCACTACTTTATTAGTCTATTTCTTCTCTTATATGTACATCCATGTGCCATTCATGTAGTTTGCTTTTTATGCAATTCTGGGATGGTGCATACTTACAGGATTGTTATTGGCTTTCCCCACAAGTATGAGCCTTGCTTTGAGCTTGGTCATATTAAAGTTTTTCAAATAGGCGTCATAAATTCTCTTGGCCAGTGACTTAAGATCTGCGACTTCGGAATTTTCTATACAGAGTTCACCTGTTTGAATTTCAGCTTTCAGCTTTGCCTTTTCTGATCTGGGCATCCGTCCAAATCGAATGGCTGAGGGGAAAACAAGCATTGAAAAAGGGAGCATAACAATATATCACACACCTTCTCACCCACAGAGATAGTCCGTCCGTTCGTCCGTCCCCCCCATTCAACCGAATGTTGGGTTGTGTTAAATCCTGTGGTAGACCAGTTGTTTTCCAAACTTGGCAACTTTATTTTTTATTTCTCTCCCCCCCCCCCAAGTTTTTTATTTTATAATATATAAAAATTCCATTTTCAATTAAACTGTGTTCTCTGGGTACGAATAGTTTTAGGAAATAGTAATCAAAATATTTACAACAGTGTTCATTACATTAATATTGATTGTAATAATATTAATAATGATAATGATGCTTACTTAACCATTTTAACATGTCTCCCTTATATCATTGATCCTTTCCTTATATTTCCCTGTTTCTAACTCTTGTTTTTATCAGCTAACCACTGATAAAATAAGTCCGAAGTCAAAAAGTATTCAGTTTCTTTCTTTTCCTTAATTGTAAGTGTTAGCCCATCCATTTCTGCACATTCTAATATTTTTTTAAATCACATTTGCATCTGTTGGGATCTCTTCACTTTTCCATTGTTGTGCAAATACAATTCTAGCTGCAGTCAGTACATGCAAAATCAGATATGCATTCCCTTTATTGTACTTATCCGGTAACATGCCGAACCAGAATATTTCTGATTTCAAATCAGTATGTTGTTTTACCCTTTTTTTTCCAGCCACGTATGTATTTTTGTCCTTTTTTTTTCTTTTTTCTTTTGCTTTTGGGCATGTCCACCACATATGATAGGTAGTATGAACTTGGCGACTTTAAAAGGGGTGGACTTCAACTCCCCAAATTACCCAGGTAACACCACAAAGTTGCCAAGTTTGAAAAACACCAGTGTAGATATATATTCAATAGTACTAGGAGATAACAGACCAGGGCTTCCTACAGCTTACCAATAACTTGGCATCCTTTTTATCTACATACAATCAATCTAATAAATCCTGAACCATAGCAAGACCGTACCCATCATAAAGTTAACAGCATTCAACATGAGCTAGTCGTCTTTCCTTTCATTTCAAAGGCACTTACTTAAATTGAGTCCAATTTCCTAACAGTTTGCAATCATACTTTATGGTCTGTTCTATCTCATTGTGGTCAAACTCAAGGAAGACAAAAACAGAATAAAACTCAGAGGACACAAAAAAAGAATGTGTTTTACCGAAATTAAGACCCTGTCTTGTATTTTTTTGAACCCCTGAAATAAGAACTTGGCCTTATTTTCAGGGAGGTCTTATTATTTTGGGGTGCGTGGAGCAAGACGGGGCTCCTCTTGCTATCTTACCTGATTTCCAGCGCTGTCTCCCTAACTCTAACCAGAGGAAATGGCGGGGATTGGCTGCGCATGCATTTAAATATTTTCAGGGAGGGCTTATTTTCGGGGAGGGCTTATTTTCAGGGGGTTATTTTAGCACATGCGCTCAAAAACCTGATTGGGCTTATTATCAGGGGATGTCTTATTTTCGGGGAAACACGGTACATATACAGAAAGATGAAGGTGAGGAGAAGGAAAGAGGAACCTATATAGAGATGTTGAAGGTTCTGTGGAGACAGGGAGAAAAATATGGCTGAAAGCTGGGGTTGCAAAGAAATCTATGACGGTGGTATTTATTTTAATATAAAATGAGGAAAGGGAAAAAAAGAGCTAATCAAGGAGGAAGACATTTCTTCTTCTTCTTACTTTGCATTAATTGGTATGTGTTTTTATCTTCCTTTTTAAAAAAATCTTTAATAAAATTATATATAAAACACAGGAGGAAAATTTCAGAAAGTCTAACACGGTGTTTTCCAACCGTAGCCATTTGAAGGTGTTTGGACTTCAACTCCCAGAATAACCCAGGCAGCATTAGAAGTTGAAGTCCGTACATCTTAAGCTGCTAGCTTGAAAAACACTGATAGATATAAAAAGAGTAAGTGAACACAGGGCAGGCAAGTGGTTAAACTCAATGTAATAATCCCTCGCAGTATTGTCTTCTTGAGTTAGTAAGTATCTATACTCAGATATCCTTCTTCACCTGAACCCAAGACTTGTTTGAGAGGCTGCAAAGGAGCCTCCTAAAATGAGGACCTGACATTTATCTTTCTGGCTCTCAAGGATTCAGACCCTTTTTCCACACTACAGAATGAAGATAGACATGTGCTGTTATCTTCCTCTAATCCTACAGGAAGTAGCTCTCGGTGAATGCAAAAGCCAATTCTGCCGGAACAGGCAAACCAAAGTAGCATAGGCACTAGGTACCACCAATACTATTATCGAGTCTGTCATCTGCACCTCTATAACTGTCTGCTTTGATTCTGCAACCCAACAAGACAGACACAGATTTCAGAGGATAATTAGAACTGCAGAAAAAACAATGGCTACCAACCTGCCTTCCATTGAGGACCTGTATACTGCACGAGTCAAAAAGAGGGCTGTGAAAATATTTATAGACCCCTCGCATCCTGGACATAAGTTGTTTCAACTCCTACCTTCAAAACGATACTATAGAGCACTGCACACCAGAACAACTAGACACAAGAACAGTTTTTTCCCGAACGCCATCACCCTGCTAAACAACTAATTCCCACAACACTGTCAAACTATTCACATTAGGCTGCATTACTATTACCATTAATCTTCGCATCGTTCCTATCACCCATCTCCTCCCACTTATGACTGCATGACTGTAACTTTGTTGCTTGTATCCTTACGATTTATATTGATCGTTTCCTAGTATGATTCGATTGCTTATTTGTACCCTATGACTATCATTAATTGTGTACCTTATGATTCTTGACGAATGTATCTTGTCGTTTTGGTGCATATGCACCAAAGACAAATTCCTTGTGTGTCCAATCACACTTGGCCAATAAAAGAATTCAATTCAATTCAATTCAATTCAATTCAATTTCAATTCAATTCAATTCAATATTCTATTCTGTTCTATTCTATTCTATTCTATTCTATTCTATTCTATTCTATTCTATTCTATTCTATTTTCTATTCCACACATTTTCAAAGTCTGTTGCATTTTCTCAGGCCTGCTGGATGCAGTTCTGAGATCCAAGTTGCAACAACACAGGAGGAGGGCTCTAACGTTTTTTGCAGCTCTATGGCTCCAAACTTTTGGTGAAGCGAAGCTTGAGAATTCACCAAAGTGGCTGAGATTCTTTCCCATGTGGGAAAGTATTCAGTAATCAGAGATTGGAAAAGAGATTCTCTTTCACAGCGGTTTTATATTTAGACTTCTTAAATGCCATGTCTCCCATTTCTAAACTTGTTACCTGCTTCTCCCTCTCTGTCCCTCTCTCTCTCTAGGTATGACAGGGGAAGATCTGTGAAGAAATAACTAAATATATTTCTTTAGTATTTATGGGGGGGAAAGGCTGGCATAACAGTAAAGTTCCGAAATCCTGCATCAAAACTAAAGTATGGTTACTGATGCTTGAAAGCTGAAGGTAGGATATATAATGCTTTCAGTCTGAAACCTTTATCTATGGAACAGATGCACCTGTATTACATTGTGCCAGGAATTCCTTAGAAAGGATTTGCTATTCTTGTCAGACACCTCCGGCACAAAGAAACTCTTAAGACAAAAGATGCGGCTGCCTATGATTTAGGATTAAGGTAGCTTACTGTTCCACAAACCATGAGTAAATGTTAAACTAATCCAGAAAGCCTTGAGGGATTTACACCATAGCCTCTGTTGGATCTGCAGTGTGAGATGGCAGAGGAAACGGAAGAGAACAGAATAGAGTTCTTTATTAGCCAAGTGTGATTGGACGCGCACAAGGAATTTGTCTCCGGTGCATAAGCTCTCAGTGTACGTACAAGCAACAAGTGATAAATCTTGATCATAATCACCAAAATACAATCATCGTAAATCATAAGATGCAACACTCATAGGATATTAATACTGTAGGATACGAAATAAGCAAACAAGATCAATCAGGATAGGATACTAAATAAAGGCAATCAACATAAACCATGAAATGCCACTAACAAAGTTATAGTCACGAGAAGCTAAGGAAATAGGGGGATAGGAAAGATGAAAAGATGAGAAGGATAATAGTTAATACAGCCCTATTAGGTGGTTTGACATCCTAGAGCCGTGATGGCGAACCTATGGCAGCGCCCTCTCTGTGGGCACGCGAGCCGTCACCCTAGTTCAGCTCTGCCGCGCATGTGTGTGTGTCTCCCGCTGGCCACCTGATTGCTGGGTCTCTGCTGTGCATGCGCAGGGGGAGGGGTGCGTGCGGGGGAGGTGCGTGCACGGGGGCCACATGCGCATTGCATTTTGGGCGTTCAGGCACGCACACATTTGCACGCGCACACACGCTTTGAGCACTCAGTCCAGAAAAGGTTACCCATCACTGTTCTAGAGCATAGACAGTATTGCGGGAATTAGTTGTTTAGAAGAATGACAGCATGGGATGGGGGACGACTGTCTTTGTGGCCGGTTGTTTTGGTGTGCAATCCCCCATAGCATCATCTTGAGGGAAAAAGTTTATGTCCAGGATGTGAGGGGTCTGTAGATACGTTCCCAGCCCTCTTTCTGGCTCGTGCAGTATACAGGTCCTCAATGGAAGTCAGGTTGGTTGCAATGGTTTTTTTCTGCGGTCCTAACTCTCCGTCGAAGTCTGTGTCTGTCTTGTTCGGCTGCTATGCCAAACCAGACAGTTATAGAGCTAACAAATGATAGACTCAACCATTCCTTTGCAGAACTGTATCCTCAGCTGCTTGGGCAGCCTGAGAAACTTAAAATAAACCTAAGGATATATATCCAGTTTTTACAGACTACAGTCACCAAGAGACCAAAAATAAGACCCTATATTGCACCGATTTGTACAAAGAAGTATCTTGAGGAATGAAAAACAGAATGATTAACCCATCTGGTAGATGTCATCAGACCTTTCCCTCCCTACACTAAAGAGGTGGCTCAGGGCCATCTGGGATTTAGTTGCTGTTGCTAGGTCATGACACAGCAAGGATTTAATTCCATATCAAGCTTTGCAATTGCTCAATTAAAAGAAAAAGCATCTACCCGACCTTTGGACTTTCTGTATAGTGCTTTGCTATGTTCGAAGAACATAAACGGAAGGAAAGAGTGCTAAACAAAATGCCATTACATATATGTTAATGTATAACATTTGTGCAGAGTTACCTATTAACCAAAGATTGCAAAAAATGTTTGTGCAAGGGCATCATTACATGTGTACCGAGTTCCCTTTACCAGGAACAAACGGCAAAGGAGTCTATGACAGCATAGATAGATGGATCTGGCCCCTTCCGCCTTCCCCCTATGGAGAGAATCTCAGCTGGCCCGTACGGAACTGACGGATACCCTTACCTACCATTATGGGACATCCCAACGGAAAGGCACTTCTGAAAACGACAGTATTGGCACTTGTTACGGTTCTTTTTCTGGATTTTGCAGTTGCGATCGCATCGGTCGTAAATAAGTTTTAGCCTGATGGTTCGCCTGAAAAAGCCCTAAGGACAGGAAACAAAACGTGAATACTCGGGAAGGGGAACTGATCCATCTTCCAAGGGAAGAATCAATCTGCAGTTTTAAGCACAACCTCTAGTAAGACTATGAGAAGTCAATACAGCTAGCCTAAAGTTTTGCTGATAGACAGACAGAACAAAAAACAACTAAAAGTAAAGCGGAATAGAACAGAATGACAGTTGGAAGGGACCTTGGAGGTCTTCTAGTCCAACCCCCTGCTCAGGCAGGAAACTCTTCTCCAAAGCATTTGAGGGCAGGACAAGAAGCAATGGGTGGAAACTAATCAAGGAGAGAAGCAACTTAGAACTAAGGAGAAATTTCCTGACAGTGAGAACAATTAATCAGTGGAACAACTTGCCTCCAGAAGTTGTGAATGCTCCAACACTGGAAGTTTTTAAGAAGATGTTGGACAATCATTTGTCTGAAATGGCGTAGGGTTTCCTGCCTAAGCAGGGGGTTGGACTAGAAGACCTCCAAGGTCCCTTCCAACTCTGTTAGTCTATTCTATTCTATATCATTTCAGACAAATGGTTGTCCAATCTCTTCTTAAAAATCTCCAGTGATAGAGTACCCACAACTTCTGAAGGCAAGCCGTTCCACGAGTTGACTGTTTGGTCAGGAAATTTCTCCTTAGTTCTAAGCTGCTTCTCTCCTTGATTAGTTTCTATCCATTGCTTCTTGTCCTGCCCTCAGGTGCTTTGGAGAATAGCTTGACTCCTTCTTTTTTGTGGCAGCCCCTGAGATATTGGAACACTGCTATCATGTCACCAATAGTCCTTCTTCTCATTAAACCAGACATACCCAATTCCTGCAACTATTCTTCATATGTTTTATCCTCCAGTCCCCTAATAGACTTTGTTGTTCTTCTCTGCACTCTTTCTAGAGTCTCAATATCTTTTTTTTTTCATATTGTGATGACCAGTTTACATTAAAGAAATATCCCATCATCATGGAAAATGCTAAAATCATTATCATACAAGAACAGCAATAATTTTTGGGGGGGAGTATTTCACATAAAGGTCAATTTACAACTATTCATTTAGTGACCAAAGTTACGACAGCACTGAAAAAAGTGACTTACGACTGTCCCTCAAATTTACAACCGTCGTAGCATCCCCATGGTCATGTGATCAAAATATGGTTGCTTGGCAACCAAGCATGGCTTTAGGTATTATAGGGACATAAGGTTGTCATTTGCAACTGTCCCAGCCAGGTATGACAAGCAAATGAGGGGAGGGAGGGAGAGTGGGATTTGCTTAATGACCATGTGATTCACCCTAGCAGAAAAGACTGTAAAATCAGACACGACTCACTGAACAACCCCCCCTTGCTTAGCAATGGAAATTCTGGTCCCGATTGTGGTCGTAAGTCGAGGACTTGCCTATGCAGTAAAACTCCTTCAGAATTGAATGAGCAGAATATGTCTCTTTTTTTTTAACTTTGTAAAATGTCAGCAGATGACGGGGGCTTTTCAAGAGGCCCCCTTCTTAATCTAATGAGCATTTTTCTACATTATCGATAAGATCAAAAAATCAACATTTTTCCCGGACCTTAATCTGCTTCCAGTTTTTCCAGACGTAGTTTCAAAGGTCACAAATCCAATCACATGGGGACACCTATTAGTAAACAGCTAAACCCCTCCTTTCCAGCGTGCCTGTTACATTCCTGGAAAATGCAGATATTTTAGGGCACGGTTAAGAAATAGGGACTGTTCTACCTGGAAAGGAAAATGGCCTCAGGTCCCTTAAACCTTTTTTGATAGCTTGCGTGTACACAAAACAACAACTTCTGTGCTCCACAAAGTACGTCCTACACAATGAGGGGGAAATCTCGTTTGTATTCTTCTCCACAGTTTTGCTGACGACTGCTCTCTTATGCGATCATCCAAGCTTCCTATAATGTTTAGTGCCGCTGTAAAAAAACAAACCAACCAACAACCGAGTTAAACCCTTTACGCGGGGGACGTACCTTACAACCTTCGCAAGCATGGACTCCATAGTGATAGCCTGATGCCTTATCTCCACAGATTCTACATTCAATGTTTAAGGCCACATTGGGAGGTTCATCTTTGCTGTTTGGAAGAGCAGCGAGGTTCACAGATGAGGGGCTTGATGCTGGTGAGAAGGAATCTGCAAAGGGAAGAAAGAGGGACCTTCAGCTTTTGTCATCCTCATCTACCTACCTGGAAGGAAAATTATTATTTGAGTCGTTCTAGCCAAAGGACGCTCTAAATGCCAAAGGACATGGCTCTTTCAGCAAATTCCCTGATCTCCTGTGCATTTTAATTTGGGGTTTTTAATCGGATTTTAACATTTTAATTCTATTTATTGTTGGTTTGTTTTATGCTGTGAGCCGCCCGAGTCCCTCAGGAGAAGGGCGGCATATAAATATGACAATCAATCAATCAATCAATCAATCAATCAATCAATCAATCAATCAATAAATAAATAAATAAATAAATAAATAAATAAATAAATAAATAAATCAGGGGTGGGGAATTATGGCTTTTTTATGACTTGTGGACTTCAACTCACAAGACTTCAAGAGCCTGTAGTACAGTGGACTAAAGCGCTGTTATTAACATCTGCTGCTTGCAGTTACTGCAAGTTCAAATCTCACCAGGCTCAAGGCTGACTCAGCCTTCCATCCTTTCTAAGATAGGTGAAATGAGGACCCGGATTGTGGGGGCAATAAGCTGACTTTGTATAAAATATACAAAAGTATGAAGGCTATTGCTTAACGCATTGTAAGTCGCCCTGAGTCTCCGGAGAAGGGCGGCATATAAATTAAAGCCAAAAAAAAACAAAAAACCAACAACTCCCAGAATTCCTGAGCCAGCAAGGGATTCTGGGAGTTGAAGTCCACAAGTCATAAAAGGGCCATATATTCCCCACTTCTGCTCTAGATGCTCCATCAGAAATGGAGGAACCCCAAAGCTTACAGACACCCCCATATCATCTCGGAAAAAGTCTCCGGAGGAAGGGAAGGTTTTAAAGCCCATCCGTTGCAATGGGAATGTTGGGGGCTTGTAGGAAGAACAGAAAAGTGAGCAAGGAGGAGTAGGAGGGCAGGGAATATTTCATCCTAGCACATGTCCCATGGTCCTATTGGTTTGACTCTTAGTGCAAATGTCAGGCAGGTGATTGTAAGAGTGACGTCTACCGACAGAAACCTAAGGCACAGACTGCGCTTGTAAAGCAGGAAAGGAATACAGAAAGCAACGGAAAATAAGTCTTGTCTGACACAATTGTTGGAAGGAGAACCAAGAGTGTGACGACCATTGTTGCTTCCCATCTCTAGAACTGAAGGCCTGAACTGAATTTTCTCGCCCCTCCATATACTTTCTTTCTGGAAACCTTTAGTGGAGGGATGGGCAAAGGTTCTCAGGCAGAAACAGAGCCTCCTAAATCACCAGAAAGCTGCAGAAGGTTTTCTGCTGATGTATTGTAGGGCCAATCTTGGAAAACTGTGGTCTACGTTTCACCATTTGAGAGAGCTGGGGGGGGGGGACTCATGGGTAAGTACTTATCTTCTGGTATTTCCACTTTTCTGCTTTCTTTTTAAGTCAAACATTGTTCCCAGCTCCCATAATTTGGATATTTTCTCATCAAATTTTCTGCAGCATAACCTCCGGGTGCTTCAGGAGATGCAAAAGGACGGGACTGCCCATTCTTGTTTTAGTATCAAATACTGTAGCATCACAAGGGAAACCCAAAGTACTGGAAGACAATGGGCATCTTTTTATCACTTTCTCAGTCCTGAAAACCAACCCTCCAGCCCTCTCAAATAAAAGTCTGAATAGCATGAATTGGGAGCCAAAGCAGGAATATTTTTTTTTTTAAATTTTGATTTATATGCCGCCCTTCTCCGAAGACTCAGGGCGGCTTACAATGTGCTCAGCAATAGCCTTCATCCTTTTGTATATTTATACAAAGTCAGCTTATTGCCCCCACAACTGGGTCCTCAATTTACCTACCTTAGAAAGGATGGAAGGCTGAGTCAACCTTGAGCCTTGGCGAGATTCGAACCCTGCAGTAATTGCAGGCAGCTGGTCTTAATAACCAGCTTAATAACAGGGTGCCTTAAACCCCTGTACTACCAAGGCTCAATATTCACGGGGACAAGAATTCATCCAGTCCAGGCCTTGCCTAAACAAAGCACCTACTATTGAGGTATCCCTGAAGTATAATATAAGTCTTCCAAAGTTCAATTGAAGGAGATTCACCGCCTTCCCAGATCATGTGCTTCCTATTATGTAGCTCAAAGTAATCTCACTCCAAAGCTTGATGTTTTTCCTTTATCCCTTAGTTGTTGTCTTACTCTCTGAAGCAAATAGCTAGTTTGCTATACGATCCAGACAGTTAGTTCAAGGTTCAGTTTGGAGTTCTGCACGCAGGGCAACATAACACAGGGCAAAAGTGACTTAGGTTAACAGAAAATACCCCGTTTCTCCGAAAATAAGACATCCCCTGATAATAAGCCCAATCGGGCTTTTGAGCACATGCGCTAAAATAAGCCTCCTCCCAAAATAATAAGACCTCCCCGAAAATAAGGCCAAGAGCTTATTTCGGGGTTCAAAAAAATATAAGACAGGGTCTTATTTTCGGAAAAACACGGTATCGTTTTTGGGCCATTATACACCATCACCACACCACCGTGGAATGCAAGGTTTATATAAAGGAGGTCCTTTTGTTCAATTTGAATTTAATTTCTTTGAATTCTTGAAATAACAAGAATGAGTTTAAGACATTGCCATGTACCTTTCTGAGATAAAAATGCAAGCGTTAGTCTCTATCAATAAAGGAGCATATTTGTAGCTCAGGGTTGAAATGAGGGGCCCTGGGTGCTCTCTGAGCTTGGCTGTTTTCTTGGAGACGTTTCATTGCCCAACTAGATAATGTTATCAATGCATCACAAGAGCAAACCCCACTCCCTTCTAGCATTATCTACGTTACCTAGTTTGGGTTAATAATATGTCTGCAAGAAAATAACCAAGTTCACAGAGCACCAAGGAGCCTTCATTCTATATCAGATGCATATTTCTGTAAGAGTTGTGCTCTGTTTCAGTACCTGGCCTTCCTTTTCTAACCCTCATCTCTTCTTCTCTCAAAAAGAATTCCAAACAAAATGAAAATCATGCCAGATTTTATAGGATGGGGAACAGCCCACTTGGGGGGGTGGGATCTGACTGGGGGATATGTACTTTGAATTGCTAATTACTATCACAAAAATTACTCCAGAGCCATTCCCAAGCTTCGTACAATCTTAATTGTAACAAGTGACAACACATAACATTCCTGTCTGAATTCAGAGAATGCACAATTATTTCTAAAAGGATCCCAATCCCCCCCCACTCCAAAAAAAATCTAATTTCTATGCAATTTAGAAAATAAAGCTACCGTATTTTTCGGACTATAAGACACACTTTTTTGTCTCCCAAAAGGAGGCGAAAATGTCTGTGCGTTTTATAGACTGAATAATGCAGAAGACCCCCCCACACCCATTTTTTGGCCTCCGCATGCCCTGTTTTGGGGCCTTTTTTTTGCCTTTTTCAGGCCTTTTTTGGCCCATTTCCCAGGCTTTTTTTGGCCTGTTTTCGAGGCTTTTTGCCCGTTTTTGAGGCTTTTTTCAGCCCGTTTTTTTTGGGGAAAAAACGGGCTGAAAAAAGCTCAAAAACGGGCCAAAAGAAGCCTCAAAAATGGCCCCCAAAAAGCCCAAAAAATGGCCCAAAAAACCCCCCCTTGAAAATGGGCCAAAAAAAAAAGCCCTGAAAACGGGTCCAAAAAAGCCTTAAAAATGGGCTGCAAAAAGCCTTGAAAACAGGCCGAAAAAAGCCCCAGAAACAGGCCGAAAAAAGACTGGAAAAGGGCCGAAAAAAGGGAGGCCAAAACCTTTTTTTGTTGTTCTCCTCTTCTAAATTTAGGTGCGTCTTATAGTCTGAAAAATACTTAAAGCGATCCGTATCTATACAAAATACCGGCAATATGAAATGATGCCCATCAGTTAACTTCCTTAGGTTATCACTTGCTTTTCAGAGAATCCTATGAAGCCATTAAGTCAAATTTATCTACACGATGTAAGATAAAATCAAAGGACGACGCTCATGCTCTGCTTAGAGACAATCTGAATTTAAATTTCATCATCTTTTATCTTTTTATTCTCTGATAACAATTGAAAGGTTACCTGTATGGTAAAAAGTTTTACCTGTATGGACAGATCCGTCTGAACCGTTTCCCAGCGACTGGAAGTCAGTTAATACTCCAGAGCTTTCCGCTTTTATAGACGGTGAAAGTTCTTTCATGCTCTCCATCTCTTGCAAAATTTCTTAAGATAAAGGAAGAGGATCTTGATAGTCCTTTAAGGGAATAAAGGGGCAGAGCTGGCTGTATTCTAAGTCCACCATTTTGATGAGGTCAAGTGTTTCCATTAGCATGAGTCAGATGTCTGAAAGGCAAACAGGGATTTTGCAAGCCAAACTAAGCCATTCATTTACGGAGGGGTAACCCTCATTTGTGATATTTGTATATCGTTTGTGATATTGCCATTCATTTGTGGACGGGTAACCCTCTCTATAGGGATGTGGTGGCTCAGTGGCTAAGATGCTGAGCTTGTCGATCGAAAGGTCGGCAGTTCAGCGGTTCGAATCCCTAGCGCCGCGTAACAGGGTGAGCTCCCGTTACTTGTCCCAGCTTCTGCCAACCTAGCAGTTCGAAAGCACGTAAAAAATGCAAGTAGAAAAATAGGGACCGCCTTTAGTGGGAAGGTAACAGCGTTCCATGCACCTTTGGCGTTTAGTCATGCCGGCCACATGACCACGGAGACGTCTTCGGACAGCGCTGGCTCTTTGGCTTTGAAATGGAGATGAGCACCGCCCCCTAGAGTTGGGAACGACTAGCACATATGTGTGAGGGGAACCTTTACCTTTGCCCCTCTCTACTCCTTGTCTGTAAGCGTTTTGGCCACGTCTACTTACATAGGGGCCCTTCTATGTTTTGGAGGCAACGAAATTCCAACAATGGCTTGAGGAGGAAACTGTCACAAGACAAAGATCACACCCAAATATTTTTGTGCAATATACAAATGCCCCTTCTTGTGGCTGGAAATTTGGGTCGTCTAAGTGCCACCTCAGACTCTTATTTCTGATGGCTCAAACGTGAATATGAAACTGAAATAAAACTTGCCATTTGAATCTACCACTTCCTGAAACTCAACGATTGAATGGTGATGGGAGAGGTTGAGGCTGGAGCTTGTGGGTTGCATTACTCAATGGGTTGTTGTGGGTTGCATTTCAGAAGATGGGAAGCCAAATGAGTCTTTCCCCAAACAAATAAATGATCTTTATTTTCTCTTTAAGATGTAATTCACTTCTATTGGCTGGTCAAAGGATTTGGCCAGGACATCTTTGAAATAATGCCTCACAGAGATTTTTGTTCAGTCTACACCCGTGATGGCGAACCTATGGCACGGGTGCCACAGGTGGCACGCGGAGCCATATAGGTGGGCACGCGAGTGTTGCCCTAACTCAGCTCCAGCGCACACGCGCGCACCAGCCAACTGATTTCCAGGCCTTCCGGTCCCACCGGAAGTTGGGAAACTGGCTGTTTCCGGCCTCCAGAAGGATGGGGAAGGCTGTTTTTGCCCTCCCCAGACTCCTAGAAAGCCTCTGGAGCCTGGGGAGGTGGAAAAACGGGCCTACCGGGCCCACCGTGCGCGTGCCAAAAGCAGGGGGAAGTGTGTGTGGGGGGGGTCACGTGCACATGCATGGGAGGGCGGGCAGATTGAATTATGGATGTGGGCACACGCACCCACGACCTCCCACGCGACCCCCACTTTTGGCACACGACAGCAAAAAGGTTAGCCATCACTGGTCTACACCAATAGTGAAATCTAAATTTTTTTACTACCGGTTCTGTGAGTGTGGCAGGGGAAGGATACTGCAAAATCCCCATTCCTACCCCACTCTGGGGCCAGCTAAAGGTGGTATTTGCTGGTTCTCTGACCTGCTCAAATTTTCCGCTACCGGTTCTCCAGAACCTGTCAGAACCTGCTGGATTTCACCCCTGGTCTACACGTCCTCTTTTTAAATGCTCAGCCAGGAAAGTCACCATTACCTGTACAATTTTTAGCACATCCCCCCCACCCCACCCGCTATGCTTTTAGAGCAGGGGGTTTCACCCTCAGCAACTTTTAGATGGGTCGACTTAAATTCCCAGAAGTCCCTAGTCAGCATGCTGGCTAGGGAATTCTGGGAGTTGAAGTCCACCATTTTAAAGTTGCTGAGGTTGAAATTTACACTAATTTAGAAGGAAGAACCACAACCCAACGGCCAGAAACCCATGAGAAACTCAACTGAACTGTGTTTTGAACATCTTTGAGCGATTTGGGTCCCTGGAATCTCCCTTCCCTGAGGAAAAAAATCTGCCAAGCAAGCATTCAGGCTCATGAACAGAACAGACATTCACCCTTTTCCGTAACATGCATCGCTTGAGACGTTCCCATCCCTGCCCAGTAAGGGTGGGGCTTCAGAGGGAGACCCGAGGCCCTGTTTAATTTCATCACCATTCTGGAGCTCTGTGCCAAGGCAATGCCAACACAAACATTATTAGCATCAATTAAGACTGGAAGAAAGCAACAGACACTTGCCAGTGCCCGTTCTGAGGGTCTGTGGGGCCAATGAGGTAAGCAAAGCTTTGGGGAAATTCTAAGCAAGTTGGTATTTCTTTTCGGGAGGGCTTTCAAAGTGCTAAATAGGTATCTCGACTCCGAGCGAAGCTTAAGTCATCCACCCTTAACCCTCCCCAAAATGATGCATCGCCCTCCCCGTCAAGATTGGCCCTCCCTGCAGGCCAAACATAAAAAAAGGTATAATCCAGTGATGAAATCCAAATTGTTTTACTACCGGTTCCATGGGCTGGGCAACTCAGCTGGGATCGTCAGAGCTTGGATCGTCAGAGCCATTTAAAAGAAAAAACGTTTTTTTTTCTTTTAAATGGCTCTGACGATCCAAGCTGAGTTGCCTGATCGACAGGCAACTCAGCTGGGATCGTCAGAGCTTGGATCGTCAGAGCTTGGATCATCAGAGGCATTTAAAAGAAAAAAAGCCTTTGATGATCAAGCGGCTCAGCTGGGCATGGGGGGGGCGGGGGCAGGGATTTTTGCTACCAGTTCTCCGAACTGCCCGCCGTCATTGCTACCTACTCGCCCGAGCCGGTCCGAACCGGGAGCATTTCACCCCTGCTCGGATGCTCTCATTGGGCATCTTTTTCCACGCAGCACACAACAGGTAGCCAGATCCAACTTTTATAAGTATCTGTCTTGAACCCAGTCCCAGCAAGCTCAAGAGGTCTAAGTTCCAGGTGAGTGAATTACATGAAGATTTGCATTTACAGAGGGCTGGTTGGGTCTAAATAAATTTCTTTTTTTTTTTTTAATTTGATTTATATGCCGTCCTTCTCCGGAGACTCAGGGCGGCTTACAGTGCGTTAAGCAATAGCCTTCATACTTTTGTATATTTTATACAAAGTCAGCTTATTGCCCCCACAAACTGGGTCCTCAATTTACCTACCTTGGAAAGGATGGATGGCTGAGTCAACCTTGAGCCTGGCAAGATTCGAACTTACTTTAATTGCAGACAGCTGGTGTTAAATTACAGTGCCTTGTCTGCAGAGCTATCCAGGCTCCATTGACCTTAACGACAAGCTAAAGTAGGGCAAGAGCATGGGGTTTTGATTTTCTTTTAAGATAATATAAAATAAGGTTAAGAAAACTGATCGCATAGCAGCACAAACATCCCAGAAGTACTGTGCTGTAAACTAAGCTAGGAGACAAAGAAATTGCCCTCTGCAGAGGGAAACCCAATAAAATTCAAAAACAGAAGAAACGGTGAACGTTCTTTGACAAAAGTGTTGCCTACAAAGATTCCAACTGTTCTAGAGATATGCAAAGAGTGTCCTTCATCTATCGGTCCATGAAAGGCTGGCACACAAAGTTAAGGAAGAAATGTTCTTTACAATGCCCACCTTGTAAAGAATCTGCTGGAAACATTACTCCCACCTTCAACCACCAATAACTCTTAACTCAGGAAGGGGGGGGATTTTTCCCCCCCTCTTCTGACTTACCAAATGTTGACTCAAGATCTAGAGATTGCTAGCTAGAATGAATCGCGGCTAGCGGAAGATTAGCTAATATTCCCCTTTTCTTGGTAACTTAAACTGGAAAAATCTAATTTGAAAAGGGAAGGGGAAAAAAATGAGGAAAAAAAACTGATTAATTTTGGAATCTAACCCTCTGTCCAAGTAATCAATCAATCAGTCAGAATAGAGCTCGAAGAGACCTTCAGGTCTTCTAAGCCAACCCCCTACTCAACCAGGACACCCTATACCCGTAATAGCAAATCTATGGCACGCATGCCAGAAGTGGCACGCAGAGCCCTCTCTGTGGGCATGCGTGCTGTCGCCAGCTGCTCTTCTGGTTTCCAGTGTGCACATGCACGCACCCACATTCCAGTTTGGGCACTCGGTGCCGAAAAGGTTCGCCATCACTGCCCTATACCATTTCAGACAAGTCACTGTCCAGTCTCTTCTTAAAAACTTCCAGTGATGAAGCACCCACAACTTCTGATGGCAAACTTAATCATTTGCCTTAATCCTTTTTACTCAATCGTTGAGACTGAGCACCAAGGTCTTGAGTTTTCTTAACGTCTTCCCTTAACATTTTAACTTAACATTTCCCTTAACATCTTCCCAAGTGAACTTGAACGTATCTGTCCACAGACTTGATGTGTTTGGTGACGGCTTCCAATTCCTGTGTTTTGATCTTGACCCAAGTATCGTCCACAAGCAGTTTATAAAAGAGAAAAGTACAGTAGTCCTTGACTTACAAACATTCACATTTGGAGTTACAACGGCACCGAAAATTGTGGCTCAGAACCTGTTCTTAAAATTACCACCTGTGTGGTCAGGTGATTACAATTTGGGTGCTTGCAATGTCCTGCAAGTCACACGATCACACTTTCCAGCTTCCTCAGCCAGTTTCCGACAAGCAAAGTCAAATAGGGAAAGATGGATTCAGTTAACCATGTGACTCGCTTAACGACTGCCAAAAAAAAAAAAAAGGATTGTAAAATTGGATCTGGTCCTGATAGCTTGCTTTGCAACCACACTGGTTAGTGACCAAAATTCCAGTCTCCATTGTGATTTAAGTCAAGGACCACCTGTAAAAATAAGATAGTGAAGGGAAGCAAGTAAGCAAAGCAATTGCTATAAAAATATTTACCCTTGTCAAACTGAGCCTTTTGCAGCACTTAATAATAGATGAGGAGGGGCTCTGAACGGCAATTTTGCCCCTTTTCAGTTGGATCATAAGATGATCATGAGTGATTGTTATAAAGCAACTGATGACAGGCAGACCTTCAAACACAAAGCCTGCCCACAGCAAAGGGCAATCGGTGTGAGAAGGGAGCGAAGTGAGAACCTGCCAGGATTTAGCTAATCCCTCCCTGTCAGCCTGTCTTGTATATTTAAAGAGGCCAGAGTATGACCTGGAGTACATGGAACTGCTATTCTAGTTTTGGAAAGTCGGGTATATCTCAGACTGAGATCCTGTGACATGCAGCATTCATGCAGGCCAGAAAATTTAAACAGCCATTTCTCCCGTTTCAGAATCCAGCAAACAATACTTGAAACCCAAGCAGGATTAACACAGAACAATTCCAGATTAATTAACAAAGCTAACTTTAAAAAAACGCACGGGACAGTTATGTTCTTCTAAGTCACGCCAGACCACCTTAGCTGACTTTGGGGGGGGGGGGGGCAGGAATTAAGCAAGGTCAACATTGGTTCTTGGTTGAGTGGGAGGCATCCCCGAGGTTGAAAGCTAGATTGGCAGGTCAAAAAAAAAAAAAAAACACCATGTCAAGAAAAAAAAAATGGCAAATACTTTCTGCACTGTTGCTGAGAAAATTAGATGGGCTCCAAGGCCATGAAGTCACTGGGAGCTGAGCTCAGCATAAAGTAGTTTTTGACTTTTATGTCCTGCTATACGTCTGTGTGTGTGTGTGTGTGTGTGTGTGTGTGTGTGTGTGTGTGTGTGTCTCAGTGGTTAAGATGCTGAGCTTATCGATCGAAAGGTCGGCAGTTCAGCAGTTCGAATCCCTAGTGCCTCATAATGGGGTGAGCTCCCATTACTTGTCTCAGCTTCTGCCAACCTAGCAGTTCGAAAGCACATTAAAAAATGCAAGTAGAAAAATAGGGACCACCTTTGGTGGGAAGGCAACAGCGTTCCGTGCGCCTTTGGCGTTTAGTCATGCCGGCCACATGACCACGGAGACGTCTTCGGACAGTGCTGGCTCTTCGGCTTTGAAACGGAGATGAGCACCGCCCCCTAGAGTCGGGAACGACTAGCACATATGTGTGAGGGGAACCTTTACCTTTACCTTATACGCATGTATGGAATTGCAGTAGAGATTGTAATACTTGCTATCCCAGATGGTGTAGTTATTTGAGAAACATGACTTTGTCAGAAGAGCCCATGCGTTGCCAATGCCAGAAATGTCATTTCTGAATGTTCATTATCCCGGGAGCCTCATTATTATCCTCCTGTTGCTTCACAGCTTCTCAGAGTTTCTGAGTATGTTGTTTCTGAGTTTCTGAGTCCCCAAAGATACCTTTTAATCAATGCAGTTGAATTCTTGGGAAAGAACCGCCTTCTATCAACTATTGTTATTTTTATTCCACCCTATTATTTATTAATTAATATTAATTAATACTATCTTATTATTAGCTGTTTATTTTCATAACTCAAGGCAGCGAACCTACCCCTCCTTCCTCCTCTTTTCCTCACAACAACAACTCTGTGCGATGAGTTGGGCTGAGAGATTGGACTGGCCCAAAGTCACCCAGCTGGAATTCATGGCTAAAGGCAGGACTAGAATTCATAAGTCGCCTGGCCTGTGGCCTTCACCGCTACACCAAACTGGCTCTCACGGATACTCAGTAACAGTAACCGAGTTGGAAGGGACCTTGGAGGTCATCTAGTCCAACCCCCTGCTCACACAGTAGATCTGTACTAGGGATTCTCCTGATGTGACTCTCCCAAACCAATTCATTCATTCATTCATTCATTCATTCATTCATTCATTCATTCATTCATTCATTCTTTATTTATTTATTTATTTAATTAATTAATTTCTATACCGCCCTTCTCCTGAAGGACTCAGGGCGGTGAACAGATTAAGATTGCATATACATATAATAATTTTTTTTTTTATAAACAGTAAATAATAAATTGAGTCAACTTGGTGTATCTGCTAAGACCTTGGCATAGAATTTAGATGTTTATGCTAGCCCTGCTTGTTGAAACAGAAAGGTCTTCGGGGCACGTGGGAAAGTGTGAAGATCTGGGATTATTCGTATTCCAGGGGGTTTTTTGTTCCAAAGAGTAGGTGCCCCCACAGAGAAGGCTCTCTCCCTTGGAACTACTAGACGACATTGTTTTAATGATGGTACTATGAGTAGGCCTACTCTGTGAGAGCGTATTGGTTGGTGGGAGGTTATCGGTTGCAGCAGGTGGTCTCGTAAATACTCAGGTCCTAAGCCATGGAGCACTTTAAAGGTAAGAACCAACACCTTGAAGCGCACTCGGAAGGCCACCGGAAGCCAGTGCAGCTTGCGTAGAAGAGGTGTTACATGTGAGCGCCATGTTGCTCCCATAATTACTCACGCGGCCGCATTCTGGACCAGTTGGAGCTTCCGGGTGCACTTCAAGGGGAGCCCCATGTAGAGAGCATTGCAGTAGTCAAGTCGGGAATTGTTTTATCCTCCAATCCCCTCATCATCCTGGTTGCTCTTCTCTGCACTCTTTCCAGAGTCTCAACGTCTTTTTTATAGCGTGGTAACCAAAACTGGATTTCTTTCCCTTTGTATCTCACACCCCCTTTTCCCCTCTCCCTTTCCTCCCCTTAATTTCCTATTTTTTCCTTCTTCTCTCCTTTTGTATTTTATATCATAAAATCAAAACTTAATAAAGTTAATCTCTCCGTAGGTTGCTCCAGGATCCGACTTGGTCCAACCATGATCTTCCTGCTGCTTCTCACGCCCAGCTTGGTCCTTTGCGACGCCAATGCCACCGTCGCCTGGGAAGAGGCACCGTCTACCACCAGCCCCATGGTAGACATGCAGAAGAAAATCAACGATCTGTGGTTGAGTTTGCTGTACCCGCAACTCTACGACGATATCCTCAAAGCCAACCGGACAGCTTACGCTTGCTGTGTTGCCCAACCCAGTAGCAAGTTAGAGGAGGGTAAACCACGAGTGACGGGCCTGGTTTTGTTCAAGCAGTTGTACCCCCATGGAAAGCTGGCGGCCCTTTTCAACTTGACGGGCTTTCCCACGGAAGCGAACACCTCGGCGAGGGCCATCCACATTCATCAATACGGCGACCTGAGCGATGGCTGCGATTCTGCTGGAGGGCACTATAACCCTTGGAAAGTCAACCACCCCCATCATCCTGGGGATTTTGGGAACTTTAACCCTAACGGGGGCAACGTTCAGAAATTGAAATCGAACCTCAAAGCTACCCTCTTTGGACCCCAGACCATTCTCGGTCGGTCGGTGGTGATCCACGAGAAGGAGGATGACCTGGGAAAGGGCAAGAACGAAGCTAGTTTGGCTCATGGGAATTCTGGCCCACGCCTGGCGTGTTGCGTCATCGGCACGTGTAAGCAGGAGCTGTGGGACAAGCTCTTCCCCAAGGTTCCAGCCAAAAGGAAGAAAAGGGTGACAAAAGCCGGCTTGGCTTGAGGGTTGGCTGACATCCCGAATGGCCGATCGACTGAGTTTGGATCCGTTAAGCGGGTTGCAACGGAAGTTTCCCTTCTGTAAATGTTAAAATAGGCTTTAGTGAATTCTTCTCTCTAGAAGCAGATCAATAATAAAGAAAAACAGGACCAGCCTTTCAAAGTTGATGTTCATGCTTTATCTACCTACCTACCTACCTACCTACCTACCTACCTACCTACCTACTTCTCTCTCTCTCCATCTACTTATCTATCATTCATCTATCTATATCTACCCACCTACCTACTTTTCTCTCTCTCTCTTTCTCTATCTACCTACACTCCTCTCTCTCTCTCTCTCTCTCTCTGCCTGCCTGCCTACCTACTTATCTCTCTCTGTGTGTCTCTCCTTCTCTCTCTCATCTATCCCATCCATCATCTCTCTGTCTGTCTATCTCTCTATCTCTATCTCTACCTACCTACCTACTTATCTCTCTCTCTCTGATCTATCCCATCCATCCATCCATCCATCATATGTCTGTCTGTGTGTCTGTCTATCTCTCTATCTATCTCTCTATCTCTATCTACCTACGTACCTACCTATCTCTCTCTCATCTATCTCATCCATCCCTCATCTGTCTGTCTGTCCATCCATCATCATCTATCTATCTATCTATCTATCTATCTATCTATCTATCTATCATCTATCTATCTATCTATCTATCTATCTATCTATCTATCTATCTATCTATCTCTATCTCCCTAGCTACTTATCTATCTCTCTCTGATCTATCTATCCCATCCATCATCTGTCTGTCTGTCTGCCTGTCTGTCAACCAGTGGTGGGTTGCCCCCTGTTCAGGCTCCGCCCACCATCCCGGATGTCGTCATCGGCGATCTGTGCATGTGTGATCCCATTGCAAACCGGTAGTAAAGGTAAGTAGAACTCACCCCTGCTACCTACCTACCTACCTACTCCCTCCCTTTCCTTCCTCCCTCCTTCCTTTCCTTCCTCTCCCTTCCTTCCTCCTTTTCCTTCCTTCCCTTCCTTCCTCCCCCTCCCTCCTTCCTTCCTTTCCTTCCTTCCTTTCCTTCCTCTCTCCTCTTCCTTCCTTTCCCCCCCTTCCTTCCCTCCCTTCCTCCCTACCTTCCTGTCAAAACCAATTTACTGTTGGAAAAGAAATAAAGAAATCCAAATCAAGAAGAAAAAACTGGTAAAAAAAAAAGACTGGCCAGGCAAAAAAGCTTAATCACATGCTACTATATTGTAGCTAGGCTCCAGAAACTTTTTGATGCTTTCAGTGATCTCAAAGAGAGACCTTTTCTTTCAAGAATCGCTGACTTATTCTTTTTATTGTATCTTGATGGCCAAGGAAATGCTTCCTATTTTCACTTCCTGACCTCCTGTCCACGAAGTTCTGTGCCACAGCAAACAGGCCAAATTTTCAGGCAAAGAACTACTATATTGCAGCCAGGGAAAATCATGAACAGTTCGGTATACTATCAAGTATATGAATTCTTCTTTTACCTCTTGGCTACAGATTCTATTTAGAGTGGTACTGTTCAACTGGACTAGGTGAAGCCCAAGAACTATTCACATCTGGATCTGGAGAACATTTTTAACCGCATATCATGGTTCTTCAGGCAGACTTTTACCTACTTTTGAGTTTTCCCTCTAGCAGTTTTAAGACCAAATAGAAGCCTGCTTGGGACGCGGTGGCTCAGTGGCTAAGATACTGAGCTTGTTGATCAGAAGGTCGGCAGTTCAGCGGTTCGAATCCCTAGTGCCGTGTGACGGGTGAGCTCCTGTGACTTGTCCCAGCTTCTGCCAACCTAGTAGTTCGAAAGCACGTAAAAAATGCAAGTAGAAAAATAGGGACCATCTTTGGTGGGAAGGTAACAGCGCTCCGTGCACCTTCGGCGTTTAGTCATGACCACGGAGACGTCTTCGGACAGCGCTGGCTCTTCGGCTTTGCAACGGAGATGAGCACTGCCCCCTAGTGTCGGGAATGACTAGCAGGTATGTGTGAGGGGAACCTTTATCTTTAATGGCCTGCTTGCACCAAACTGCATTCAGAATTGCACATTTAAGACGTGTGTAGGAATGGATTCCTGCTATGCCCTTATTCTCCACTGAATCACAAGTTCTCTGAGATCCCTTAAATTCTTTTTAATTGGAATTTTGAGAAGAAGGAATTAAAACTCCGAGAAACATAAACTAAGACCTCAAATACAAAAAGCCATTGGCTACGCTATGACAATTTCCCCCTACATACATTATCGTTCCCGTTGGGCTACTGAATATGGTAGTTTTGTTTCCATCCATTTTGCAGCTACGTTTTTCTTGAATGCTGAAAATAAGGATTTTCTGAGTAAGCTCATGCAGCTTATCATTTTCAAAAGCTTAAAACTGTTTTTTTTTTTCTTCCCTGAAATGCACATATAGATACTGTGAATGCTGCTGCTGGCAGGAGGAGGAGAAGGGTGAGTGATGTTTAATTCTAGCTTGCGATTCAGGTTGAATTGAGGAAATGTTTTAGTAAAACATGCTGTTAACAAATGAGGTATGCTTCAACAAATCATTTTAATTCAGTGTTTCTTCAAATTGCTCGCTGTGAGCTTAATCCCTTAAAGCCCTCAAATTTGATGAAAAGGAGCCAAACTTAGCGCCTCTCCTCCACAATCATGCCTGGCATAAATGGCTACTCCTTTTAGTGTAGCCTATGAATAACAGTCACCATTTAGCACACTTTTAATCCAGCATTTGAGTCATTATGGCTAAGAGCCACGGTGGCGCAGTGGTTAGAGTGCAGTACTGCAGGGCTACTTCTGCTGACTGCCGGCTGCCTGCAATTTGGCAGTTCAAATCTCACCAGGCTCAAGGTTGACTCAGCCTTCCATCCTTCCGAGGTCGGTAAAAATGAGGGTCCAGATTGTTGGGGGCAATAGGCTGACTCTGTAAACCGCTTAGAGAGGGTTATACAGCACTGTGAAGCGGTATATAAGTCTAAGTGCTATTGCTATTACCGTATTTTTCGGAGTATAAGACGCACCTTTTCCACCCCTAAAAGGGGGTGAAAATTTAGGTGCGTCTTATACACCGAATGTAGACCCGCCCACCCACTGGCCCCCACCCTTTGGCCTCTGCCTCGCAGCAGTTACCTCCTTGCAAGCAAACAACAAGAAAAAATAGCTCCTTTCAGCTTCAGCACAGCCTAATTAGCACAAGTTGATTGGATCAGCCTCCCGACTCTCAGCTGATTTGCTCTCAGCTGTTTTGCGCAGGGCTCTGCTGCTTGCTGCAAAGAGGCAAATTGCTGGAGCAGATTTTTTTTTTCCTTGTGCTAATCAAGCTATGCTGAAAACGAAAATAAAAGTAAAGCAGGTTGTTTGCTGCAAGGAGGCAAAATTGCTCAGAGGCAGAGGGAGATTTCTTTTTCTTCTTTTCGTCACCAAAAAAGGTAGGTGCGTCTTATACTCCGGTACATCTTATACTCCGAAAAATACGGTATTTCCTATCCTCTCACCAACTCCAAAACATGGATACAGAGGCAATGCTGGAAAATAAGCCAGAACACTGTCTTAAACATCAAGTAAGGTTACAATGATGGTTTATTCCTAACATGAATGAATGTATGTCTTAGGAACACATACACTTTTCTCTGCAAAAAAAAAAAAAAAGCATTACCCACACTAACATGTCAGAAGGCACATGTGCTACACCAGATTAACCATGGTTTGCTGATAAAGCTGTAATATCACACTAAACCAGAAATTTGGGTTTGAAAGCCCAAAGTTATTCGTTTCTCACAATGCAATAATCCCAAATCAAACTAAGTACTGTATGTATGATCAGCCTACATCCAAGAAGAGGTAACGAGCTTTCCTCACCATTTACTGAAAAGGAGCATCTGATTTTTTTTTTTTTTTACTAAACTCGATTCAAACCGCAGGCCAGGAGGACCCGTGACATCCAGTACAGTTGTTTTCCAGCCATCTAATCTTAGGTTCTAATAAGAGGGATGGCTGGGCTGCCCTTGGACGAGTAGTTAAATATTCACTTTTCATTTAGGACTTTTGACCATCAGATCAAAACACCAGCTAACAACAGAGATTCCAAGATGGCATCCGGTACGAAATGGCCAAGCTTTATCACTTCCACGCAACGTCTGATTTCTGGAAATATGCTGCACAACTGATTTTAAAAGCTTATGTTTTCCGTCTCAGAATTGTGTCGATTCTTTTTCTAGAGAGACAAGCCTCTTCTGTAGGAGGTCACTTCAACTTTCTTACCTGGTCATCTGAAACAGCTTTCCACAACCTGGTCAGAGGTGGGCTTCACATAATTTTACCACCGGTTTGCCGCACATCAAAAATGTGAGCGTGCGCACATGCACACATCTTAGAAAACATAGCTAAATTGTTGTGACCTAGGCTTACTGAGTCATTACAAGACACAATTACTCCCCAAAAAACCTATTTTATTGTAACAGCTGAGAATTACGTTCATTCCCAGCTGAGTCCCAATTAGTTGCAAAACAAGTCCTTCCGAAGAAGTCCTTCGGGATAATCACCAACCTTTATCTTCTTTGACACCCTGCCAAAGGCCTTACTTGGCAAAGCCCCGCGAAGTTCAGAAACAAACAAGAGATGCCGACTGGAAACAGAGTTAGCAACATTGATTTCCTGCAAAAAGCTCAAGTGCCTTTGTTTCCTTTTTAAGTCTTATGGGAGGAGCCAAACATCTTCCGGATTTACTCCTGAGTCGTCCCTTTTGCTTTAGTGCTCTTGCCTTCTGGCAGCTCTGTGCATGCAAGCACTAGGAACAGGCTCCTCCTGTTCCTCTGCCTCTCTGCTGTCCAACTCTGGGGGCTCCAGAGTCCGCACATCACTCCCAGATGGCCCTGGCCCCATCTCTGCCTCTGACGCAGAGCCCTCGTCAGGGCCTTCCCCAGCCTCCAGGACTGGCCCATGTTCCTTCCCAGCCTCCTCACTGTCCGATTCCGCTGCCAACTCTGCAGGCTGCTGGTGGACCGCAACATAAATAGGACGGCATAGCGCCAGAGTGGGTGGGCAGGCCCACCCATAGGTCGCCACTACCAGTTCGCTTGAACTGGTCCAAACCAGCTGAATACCACTACTGAACCTAGTGCCCTGCAGGGACTTCAGCTTCCAC